TAATTAGCACAATGGACAAATAATAACAATGGAAGACTAAAATGTGTTGTGTGTCTTCAAGTGCTAGCAAATGAAGCAATGAAGCCATGTCTGGTTAATAAAAATCATTCATACTTTTGAATCACTTTGGCTGTCATGTCCAACAGCCTGTGCCTTACTTACTTGGACACCTTAAAAGTCTAAACACATCTACTGGTTTGACTGTAATGTGACACTGATATTATTTTAAAGTACCTTTGTCATTTATTAGCCACAGTCAGTTTCAGTTTTTGGCCAGATAATGGTCTAACTTTAAAAAAAAGGTGATGGTACATATTTCTCTAACACTTAATTTGGTTCTGCAGTAATTCTGATGCTGAACATCTGAAATATATTTTCTTAGTGTAACGTCAAAAGATACATTTTACAAGATATCAATACATTTAAAAAAAGAAGAAAGACCCATGGTGAATTTTTTTTTGCACAAAAACAATACATTTATTCAAGTGTTCTCCAGCACAAGTACATACGAAGCCTTTATCTTCTCTTTGAACACTAAACAAAGGTATGGGGCAGAGAATGACTGCTACATCTGCTGTATGAACTGGTCTTGAGGAAAACCATACAGGCCATAAAACAGTTATGACAGAAAGAAAGTCACAAAGAGCGTTAACAGTATCACTGAAGTATTGACCTGCTTTGACCAGTAAAATGAAATGCTGTTTCTGGGTTTTTTTTCTTCTTTTTTTTTAAAAACAAAGAAACAAGTAAGCGTCAGTTCAAAACAACATTCGGAAAACAGACATGGAGAATATTGTGGCATGGAATGTAGGATTAAGAAGCAATGCGCATTAAGCATACATTATGCTACAGTAAAAGTTATTACCATTTTTTTTCTCACACAATTTTCCCACAGATAAGCACCGACTACAGCAATCTCTAGTCTAAAACAATATAGCAAACCTTTCATTATTTGTTATCCTTATTTTTTCAAGTACAAAGTTAAAATGCCTTTGTTAATATATTTATATGAGTGAAATAATAGTTATTTTTCATTACTACAAGGAACTTAAAACAGTCATTGTCAAGACATGTTTATTTGTCTTCCAATCAAACACATTTTTCTTGATTAGGTAAAATGTTTAGCACCATCGGAAACGCCTACAATCCCTCTTTTTAAAGTCTTACAAAAAGAAACAGAAGTTTAAAAAAAAAACACACCACCGTGTAGGGCTGTGCAGTGAAGTTTAGACCGTCAATCTTAAAGCTGTCTTTAGGCCAATGTTAAGATCACAAAACATCCAATCTGGATTCACTTGAAACAAACAAATAAAAAAACAAAAAAACAAAAAAAGCGGAGTTGGAATCTCTCTACATCTAATGCTTGAAGCTTTGAATGAAATTTGTCAATGATTTTTATTTTCGACCTAAGATTTTCTTTCTATTTGATGATATATATTAGCAAAGAATTATATTTGTACATCTCATTTGTAATTAAAAAAAGAAAAGAAAAAAAATTGAAAACAGCAACCAGAAAACTCTATGTACAGAATGTACAACCATGAATATGACGTTAGGTATTAAAGGTGGAGAGGGGGATAACATCTGATAAAATACAAAGCACGAGAGCTCATATTGAGCCACCATGCATGGACAAAAAGGATGGCAATAAGGTCACTTAAGAAATTAATTACATTAAGAAATTAAATTTCAAATCTTAAATATGATTTAGAGAAGCGATAGCATCTGCTCTTACTCTTTACTCTTTGAGTGCTGACATCCGTGTCAAACACTGTGTCAGGCTTTTGTTTTGACAAACTGCAGCCTAAATCCTCTGTGTTTAGCTTAAGGATTACAATCAAGAGAATTTAGTTTGCGCGTGTAATCCATAATTTGGATCGGCGCTTACAATTTGCCAACGTGACGACTACAATTTATCGAGCAAATGGCAGCGGCCCTACTGTCCTTCACAGGGGACAAAATATTTTTACAAAGCAGGAAACACAGCTTTTTGACGCTGCCTTACATTTTTACAATCTTAATAGCAACAGACATTCCTTGAATTTACGTGGCAACATACTGTATCGCTGCTTCGAAACAGAGAACAATATGGATGATGGAAGGTGAGAAAAGGAGTTGGAGGTTACAAATGACAATCCATCTACTGTACACCGAGTCAAATAACATGGTTTCACATATAAAAAAAATCCATTCTTTCACTTCTATTGGCACAGCCCTACTGTATACAAAAAATATTACACGAGGATTGATCAGTTCACATCATTAAACTAAACGAAAAATAAACCAATTCACAAGAAAAAAAAACGTTTTTAAAAGAAAAAGAAAGTGTACGTATAAAAGTGCTTGATAATGTTGATAAAACAGCACAAAATTGCTATAAAAAGGTAGAAGAACTCTGTGAAGCGGCACCATATTGTTGAGTATTTGCACCTGACAGTTATTCAGTTTAGAGAGGTGGAAGCCGAGGAGGAGAGTTACCCGGCCTGGTCGCTCTCCCTCCTTTACAGCGACCACGCTTACTAACAGTTGTACAGTAACGTCATTGTTCATGATGAAACTAGAAAAAAGTAGCTCATCACAGACTTTGATCTTAAGTTTTTTCTTTTGAATGACAGAAAACATCATCTCCCATGTGGCTAGCTTCACTTTCTGTTTGTGCAGATTCAGACAGTGAGCCTGAGTGTAGCAAGGCTGAGATTAGAAGAGCACCAGTACAAACTTGTGTAATAGCTGTAAAAACGCAGAAAAGAGTATAAGCTCTATTTTGCAGTCAAACGTCGGTCAACCGAACGGCATACAACATTATTTTATTTTATTTTTTTCGTTAAATGTAAAAACGTCAAACAAAAGTTCATCCAGCAACAGGTTAAAACGCTCCGTATTGTCTAAAAATGCATTGCCACATGGGCTATGATGTTTCATATCATCTTGGAGCACCATGGTATTGTAACCATATTACAGTAGTACCTTTATTACCTTCAGTTGTGTATAGAAACTGTAAACAAAGAGGTATATGTGATCTGGTGTTTTGGATTCTCAGAGACACAGCTCTCTTGACACTGAAGGAAACATCCCTGTGAGGCTCAGTAGCTGGAAGCATGGCTGCACTGCAGGTGGGAGTCTCGCAGTACGCTCACACAGCAGAAGCATTTCACATATCTTGAAAAAAAATATCCTACTTCCTGTCTTTCTGATGTTTCCCAATGTATTCCTATCCCTATCTCTCTTACAAGACGTATTTAGCACTCTTCTGTCTTCGTGTCTTGAGAAGAAAGCATAGTCTCAAGTATAGCTTGCACAAACAAATAAACAATACTTGATAACACTGCAGCGGCCCTACTGTAAAATGATATATAAAATTAAATAGAATAAGAATTGCAATTCAAATACAAGAAATAATGTGAAATCTATGTTTCGATTACAAATTATACCAGAGTATAATTTGAGGATCAAGGCTCTTGTTTCTAGTCACAACATACAGTTGTGGTTCCTAAATTATGAGGTGCCGTAAGGGACATTATTACTGAAATGCTCTCACACACACGACTAAAATTTTATCTCTCACACACACTACTGAAACGCTCTAACAAACGCTACTGAAATGTACTCGCACACGCTACTGAAATGCAGTCACACACACTACTTAAAACCAAGGCGTTTCAGCTGGATAGGGCAGTGTTGCCAAATCCTTAGTAAGGAAAGTCGCTATTAGCGTTGTTGTCCTAAAAGTCGCTAGAAGTTGCTAAATATGGTCATCGCCTAATTTGCATAATTGGTCATCCTTATGTAATTGTAACCTATGTTGTAGGAGAGAGAAATAACATCGTGGAAGAGACATAAAGTGGGTAAAATGGATTAGGAATATATTTAGAACTACAAATTAAATTCTTTGAGTAATTATTGTTTTTTTTAATGTCACAATTCTAACCCTCCTCCTTTATCCGGGCTTGGTACCGGCAAAAGTGACCCAAAAAAGGCACTCTGGCGGAGTTACACACACACACACTGTGTGTGTTTAAGTAGTTTTAAACCTTGTGATTTACAAAAAGTAAAAGAAGAACTGACTGCGTTAAAGTCGGGGTGGGAGCAGCGGCTTTGCTCATGCGTGATTCATTTGCAGTTTGGATGGGTAGGGATCAGCATCTCCTGCTCTGACAGCAGCTGGGGGCGACTCCTGCCTGTGAGCGCTTTGGCATGGGCGAAGTGCCCACGGCAGCACCCGCTGCTTGTTGGGAGTAAGACAGATATGTGCTTTCACGTCAAAAAGTGGTCATAGGTCTTCCTAATAACAAAAGCAAAAGTCGCCAGATTTGTCGCTAGTCGTTTTTTAGAGAAAAAAAAGTCGCTAAGGGGGTCTGAAAACTCGCTAAATATAGCGACAAAGTTGCTAAGTTGGCAACACTAAAACACCTTCCTGTTCAGCTGAAATGCCTTGGTGTTCAGTAGTGTGTCTGAGAGCGTTTCAGTAATAATGCCCCTTACGGCACTTCATACTAAATGGTTCTGAGCTAATTTTCTGACTGCTCAGTCACAGGCAAAGTACTCTTTGAGTGGTGCAAACAGGTGGCGGATAACTGGGACGCTCCATGATCTGCCCAGCAGCCTCTGCCTCGCCAGTCGGCTCATGTTGGATACGTCTGTATAGTGGACTGGAAAACCAAAGACCCTGATGTGAGCAACCATCCACACCACACGTGCAACCAGCGAGCAGACAGGGGAAGACAAAGGAAGAAAACCTTGAAATTCTGACCTCTGAAAAAAGCCTACACAGTAGTTGAAATCATTATGTTTACATACCTCTCCATCTCAGTGCACCACAGTATGTCTTCCTTCTCATTCATGTAGACTGGGAAGTGCTGGTCCTTGCCCTGTTTGATGGAATTAGACCTGGTAGTGATAGTCCTCACCTTGCCAAACTGGAGGACAATAAAAAAAAATTTGTTTATGCCATTTTTATGTCCTTGCTGCGTAACAAACTTACAAAACCTGAGATACCTTTTCTAAAATGTTGAGGTTATCGTGATCAGATAATTTGGTAAACATGAGGTTCCATGTGAAGACCTGTCCCTGGATCTTGGTCCCAGAGTTTTGAGTCTTCAGCTTTGTATTTTTGATCTTTATTTCATGATTCTGTATTGGTTTTAGTCCTCTGTTATGAGTTTTTCGTGTTCTGGTTTCTTGGTTTTAGGCTGGTTTAAGAATACCTGGTTATTCCCGCCTCTCGTTTCCTTTTCTGGCCCAGTATTGTTTCCATGTTTGTTTACCGCCCTCATGGTTGTGTCTTCTTTCGTTAAAGTTTTGTTTCCTAGTTTTTTGGACATGGAGTACTTTGTTCTTTGTTGAAGTTTAAGCTCTGCAATAAAGTTGTCTTTTAGTTTAAACTTAGTTTCTGAGTCATGTCAAAGCTGATTTTTTTTGTTAGATAAATTCAATTTGAAACTATTACATCTAGCTGCCACATGGAGCCACCAGTGTGCAGAGTTTTACACTCCTGAATCAAATGAACTGTATTACGAAATCCGAACATGTCACACAGTGGAAATTTGCATTTATCTTTTATATTGGTCTTATTCTGATTCTAGTGTTTATTTGTGAGTGTAGTTTTTATTTGCATGATTTTATTCTGGTTGTATTGCATGTTTTTTTCTGTATACTTTATTAATCCTCTGTAAGAAAATTACTCTCTGCATTTAACCCATTCACTCAGTGAAGCAGTGGGCAGCCAATCCAGCGCCCGGGGAGCAGTGTGTAGGGACGGTACCTTGCTCAGGGGTAACTCGGGGTAGCCGTTCGGTGGATTTGAACCCCCGACCTTCCGATCATGTTTTAATCCACTGTGGACTGGCTGGGCATGGGACAAATTAGCTGATAGCGGTCACCTCCTGAGGCATGGGTGTGTCCAAAGGCGGCCTATCAGCTGTTTAAAGGACCTATTAAAAGGAAGCTAGCTGAGCACTGGAAGGAGAGAGGCCCCAGATATGGAGAGGAATGCATGGAGGCCAGCTGATAAAGAGGGACCCGCTGCCTGATCATAGGGGTGCGACACCTCATCTGGAGACAGTCTGGTCAGCGTGACGTGGCGACCCAGGCCCAACAGCAGGAATGGCGACAGTAGGAGACAACATGTGGGATTGACAGCAGGGCAGAGGTATACCTCTGGCTGCATTTGTGAGTAGTGTCTCCACCGTTGTGCAGCCGTGTTGGGAGACGGTCGCCATGGCTATAAACCAGGCCAACTTCCGGGACGATGGTTCTGGCCCCTGTTTGTTTACTTACAGGGCAATGATGCAAGGGGAGCCGTGGTGGCATCGAGCAACGGACTCCAGTGCAGAATTCGAGCTGGGCAGGGATGTGATGGGACGAGAGGGGGATAGAAGGCTTCTCCTCGTCTTCCTGGGACGAGGCTGGTATGGACCCCGCTCTGGAAGAGGGATTTCTGCCCTGCTTGTGAACACCTAACAAACATTCGTCCTTGGCTGTGGGACAGTTACATTGTGTGACGGGGTGGGATTTTAGAGCGCATAGAACATTGCGTTTTATAAGGTTTTTTTGATATTGGGTTTGTTTATTCCTGGGAATTTTAGTACCTCTACAACATTTTATTGCTTATGGCTTTTAGAATTGTTTGTCATTCTTGCTCCCTGGCCTGGAATAAACCCTTTCTGATCAGACCTGCTTCATCTTTGTGCCCTGGGTTTCTGACTCGCTTGCTCCCCCCTTGTATGTAAAGAACCATCCTCTAGTATGACATTCTGCCACACCAGCTTTAGTGTCTACAAACACACACCATCAACTCTGATATTCTACTGTATTTAAATTGAATGAAACAGATTAACCAGAGAGATTACAGCTGCCAGACTGAGTTTTTGTGTGCACCGGTGAGCGAACATGATGTGTATTGAAAGACAAGCTGCAAGTACCTTGGCTGTTCTGCCATGTTCTAAACAGTCCTGGAGTTCCAGCCTATCAGTGCACATGGCAGTCAAAGGCCTGAAAGAGAGAATGAACAATTTACACTTTAACACGTTATTTAAATCTAACATGCATTTCATTTTTTTCCTGGTCCCTATATACACTTACAATAGTGGATGCTCACATTAAACTTGGACTAAGTTTCAAACAATTACATAACAGGTCAGGGTATGGTGACACGGTTGTCAGCACCGTCACCTCAAAGCAAGAAGGATGTGGGTTTGAGTTCACCAGCTGGGCGCCACGGACCTTTCTAGATGGACACGGGCTGTGGGAGGAACTGGTGATTCTAAATTGTTAATAGGTGTGAATGGTTGTCCGTGTCTCCGTGTTAGGATGGATGGAATGAGTGCAGGTACAAATAACCCTGGTGAGTTCAAATCTTTGTGGACAAAACGTAACAGTCAAAAACAGTCAATTTTCTCATTACTAGGTGTGCAATAAAGCTCATGCTACATTCCTCTGATTACTCTACCTTTTTCTAAGCCCTCCCCTACAACCTTGCATTTAATGCCACATTGCTACGAACTCTGAGTAACTGTCTTGAGCAAAGTCTACAGAAATGCAGACTTGTGAAACTATGGATAACGTCTAGCAGAGAGCTCTTCATGCATTTCATAATGTCACAGTGGGATAGCCTAAGTCTCTGAGTCTGTAAATGTAGACATTGGGATTGAGCCAAGGGAGGAACGGGGCCCAGAAAAAGATAACAAATTATTATTTGAACTGTGAATCATGCAAAGCTACACTAATAGAGTCCAAGAATAAAAATATGGAGCTGGAGGTAGTAAAAGGTCCCATTTACAAATGTGAAAGTAGGGCATAATAGACTGAATTGGATCTGCTATACTACAAGTCTCTACTTCATCGGCCTTTATCTGCAATTTTAAACAAGAAAAAAAATCTCTGCCGGAAGTATGAAATTACTTCTAATCTAGCCACTGAAATCAGTTTCAGTCCATGCCATAATGGCACTTCATTTTGATTCAATGATTTTGGAGATAATCTAATCTAATTTGCTGTTCCATGCTTTGAATGCAGTATTAAGAAAACAGAAGATAATCTGCCAGGACAAGAATAGTTTAAAAAAAAAGAAAAAAAAAGAAGCCAAATCAATTGGGTATGTATGACTCACTATCACTACCTTATCTATAGTCATAGTAAAAAAGACAGTATGATCCTTAAAATTCTGTTTTCCCATAAATAAACTAAAAATAAAAATAATCTGGTCTTTAGCAGGTCTTAAAATATGATACATAAAACCTCAAAGGGCCTACAAAACACGACGTACCACACTGTGTGACTATCTATTTAACAATCAAAAATCAGAAGCAGTGCGTGAGAAACTAAAGCCACACTTCTTCTTCCACACTGCTTCAATAGGAATTAAGAGAATAAGTAGCAGCCAGGTGCTGCTAATCAAGTTCACTCGATTCATTGATCATCAGCAAGCAAGCGCCTCTAAAAAACAAAAGGTTTAGGCAGTTTGTTCATCAGGAACATTCACATGTGTGTTAACACAATGCCAAAGAGGAAAAACATCAGCAATTATTTTCAGCAGAGAAGCTGTTTCCAAATAGTCTGAGGTCTCTCATTCTGCAGTGAGAAATATTATTCACGATCAGAAAACATTCACGACGGCTGCCAATCTCAGCAGTGGCCGGCCATGCAATGCTCAGAGAAATGACAAAAAAACAAGAGCTACGTCTCAGCCTCAACAGGCCTTAATTAGATAGTTAAATTCTACAGTTCAAGACACACTGAACAAATGTGGCTTACTTGGAAGGGTTGTCAGGAGACATCCTCTTCTCTCTAAAAATAATATGGCAGCATACTTAGATTTGCAAAGATGCATCTGAGCAAACCACAAGACTTCTGGAACAATGTCCTTTGGACAGATGAGACCAAAGTAGACATGTGTGGCTATAATGCACAAAACCAAATACAGCACATCAGCACAAACACCTCATACTAACTGTCAGCATGGTGGTGGAGGGGTGATGGTTTGGGTTTGTTTTGCAGCCACAGGATCTTGGCATGTTGAAGTCATTGAGTCTTTGTATACCAAAGATTTCTAAAGCAAAATGTGAGGCCATCTGTTTGACAACTGAAACTTGCCAAAATGATGTCATGCAACACGATAATAATCCCAAGTACAGCAGCAAATCTAAAACAGAATAACTAAAAAAGGAAATAGCGGAAATGCTATACCACATAAATTTACCATATAAATGCCTGCAAATCTCAATGAACTGGAGGAAGTTCCTCCACAGCAACATGAGAGACGAATAAAGTCATGCAGAAAACAAAACACTTTAAATTATGGCACCTAAAAGTTATAATGAATCACAGGGTGTGATTAGTTTTTCACACACCACTTTTTCTTTTGGGCTTACTTTTCTAAAAACAAGTAATAACATAGTGTAACATGTTCTGTGTTGTTGTTCATTTTTAGTTTGTTTTTGCATTATTGTAAGACTTGATACGGACTAAAGAATTTAGGTTGTACTTTGTTGTAACATGACCATATAATTTGACATAAGCAGTCCCTTTATAGTGTTACTTTTTTGTTAAATACTACTTCTTTTCTCACCATTCATACACCAACCTGTTCATGCCAGGAAGGTTACCCCAGAAGTAACGGGCACGGTGGGCAGCTGACACTTCCTTGGCATCGATCATCACTGGGTTACACTGAAAACAGAGATGAGGAAGAACAAGCACCAATCAGGACGCAACAAAGGTAAAAAGCTTGTGATTGCATACAGAATAATACAAGTGTAATCACACAACAACAACAATTTTACTATATAGCACAATGTTAATATAACAGAAAAGAGTCAAAATTAAACTTCAAAATTGTCAGTTTCCTCAGTGGACAGTCATTTAAAAAAAAGAGAGTATTCTAACAGCTAATGAGGGCTTCACCTAACAGATAACCAGAAACACCATCTAGGAGTAGATTGCAGCGCATTAAAGATGGCATGTTAAACTGTTGAATGAAGATCAAGACGTCAGAGCTCCGTTCTCATAATTTTTGCCTAAAGATAATGAATTATTGCCACAAGGGGGCATTCAAAGCCCAACAATACCCACTTCACCAACGGCACATCATACATCTACCGCCTACAGCAGGTAGAGATTATAAGTATCAGTAAAGAAATTAACCTCTAAAAAGCGAGATATGTCCCTCTTGTCACTGACGCCCATAGCAACCACATTTTCAAAGAGCCAGAAGAAAGGCCTGTCTTCCCCCTGCTTCGGCCGAGCCTCATGGAGCAGTCGGTAAAACTCAAAGAACAGGCGTCCGGTGCCCTCTGTGAGACAGAAAGAGGTATTAAACCAGGTGCTGAAGCAAAGCAAAAGACATAAACTCCTTATATTCTAGTGATTTATTTAGGCCAGTGACTTTATATATGAATGAATTTCCCAACTAATACATTAGCAAAGCAAAAAAGCAGTGGACTCATTTAAACTTACCATACAGACCCTTCCTTGCAGGATTGACTATTGAGAGGTCATTGCATGGGCTTCCACCTATAACTAGATCAAAAGGACCCCACTCGTTTATCTGTATAGAGAAAAGAATCAGAGTCAGGATTAGGGTTATGAACTGAACCAGCAATGTACTCCTAGTGAGTAGTAAATACTAATAAAACTAGCAATACAGATGCTAGAGTTTGAATGTTTTATAACGTCTTTATTGTCTTTTACTCTCCACTCTTGGCTTTTAATATGACAAGGTAAAGTGTCAAAGAAGAGCATGGTCTCACTGTCGGTCATTTGTACATCTGGTAAACAACCATACTGTTAAGCCTTAAAAATATCCACATTTTTTGTTTAGAAGAGTCTGCATTTAATTTCTGGTTTTCCACAATAGAAAATGATATCCAATGCTACTTAGTACAAGCGAGTAATGATATATTTGTAAGTTTGTAGCCATTTGCAAGTTTGGTGTCTCTTTTTAGTAACTTATTCTCACTCACATGTTTGCGCGTGATGTTCCGCACGTCTCCAACGTACATGATGCGACCCTCATGCCGGACGATACCCACAGTGATGGAGTCTTCACACACTTCAGAAGCTATGTAGCGACCCACTTGGATGCCAAGTTCTTTGAGCACCAGCAGTCCTGTGCAGGGTGTAGTTAAAGATTTTTTTTAAAAAAAGAAAAGAAGGAGACAGTCTAAAAAAATCTGTCCACTTAAATGATCTGATCTGAAGAACTGGAGCTATCCCTAATAAATAAATCCTATGATGACTAACACAAATATAGCTAATAGCTATATAGCTAGTATAGCTAGTTATATATGGCATGTGTAGTGACTGATACATGGCAACGTTCCGACTAATAAAGGAAGAAAGTAAATCCATCTAATTTTTGATAACACAAACTGGGGAAAATTGTCTAACCTGTGGCTATGCCATCAAATAGTGAAAGGACACGAATGGGCTTCCTCTTCTCCGCCATGACTGGGGCGTAAAGCTTTGGTGGATCCTGAAATTATTGGCAGAGGGGGCAACAGTGAGACACAAAGGAGACAGACTCCTCAGTCACATGGTGATTGAGATTTATGGCCTAAAGGTCAATTACTTACAAAATCTTGATCGTGATTATTTGCAAAGAAGTGCTGGAGACGGCTGGGCCAATCGCTACGACGCTCCAGCAAACCAAACACACCCTTCTGACCGCACATGTAGCAGTTCCATGGGTCTTCTTTGATGGCAGCGTGAGCGGCTCCTTGACCAACAAGAAGGTCCACGCACTCCACACAGAAGCACCTGCGCCAAGGACAAGGACATTTACTTCTAAAATGATAACTAACCCTAACTATTAAAAGCAGTCACAGTGTTAAGTACAGTAAGCGACTAAGTGACTAAATGTGGTAGACTGCATATTTTCCATTAGAAGACCAAAATAAACTATTAACTGTTTAAAATGGTCTTGATCTGAGAATAAAAATGCAGGAAATGTAACGTGCAAGTGAAAAAACTTCTGCATGTTTGATGGGGTTTACCAAGGTTGTCTAAAAGGCCCCAAAGTTCATAGGATAACTCTATTTGAATTCTTATACAGGTGTTTGTAAGTTTATATACACGTTTATATACTGTTCATTTAGCATTTAACCTTCTGTTAGTTTGAGCCAGCCCACCGTCTGGTGATGTCATATAGTTAGTAAGGTGGGCAGTTTTAGTGTGGATGAGCAGTGTTGGTCAGGTGGGGGTGCACTGATTCCTGTGGGATATGATGTGTGCGTGAATGGTAAGTGATTAATAACCTGTGTTGCATTTTGCTTTATTTGTGTTGATACTGTGATATATTTACCATTTAGGAGCTAATCTAGTTCATAGTTGGAGCGGTATAGGCCACGCACGCAATGCGTGAGTTCACCCTCATTTCACATGCTAATTGATGTCAGTTACTTCATCCTGGTTTGGCTTTAGTTTGCCACATGTACGATCCTCAATATGTTTCTAACGTAATTCCTGTGTTATCAGAGCTTCCCTGTATGGTATATGTGGTGCTCGTGATTCTTTAATTTAAAATACGGAGTTTATAGCGGATAATTTGTTCAGAGTACCGCTTAAATGCCGAGCGTAGTTCGACCGGAAGTACCATGTTCCTACTTCCCCTTCGCAATAAAAGCATTACGGCGGATTATAACGGAGAAGCCTTTATTTTCTACAGCTACCGGAAGTAGTTCCTCTGTACTGACGTTAACTTAACCTCGCAGTAATGCTAGTTAGCTGGCATAGTGTAAGCAGTAGAAGTGTACTACATTGCTCTGCTCATTTAAAGGATAGATTTATGTAGAGATACATTTTTTTGTGTTTAGCATTACTGCCTTACACTACTGTGCTCTTTTCTTTATGTATGGTTATGTTAACTATATTGTATTATGCATATATCTGGATATGTCACTTATCTCTTCACCTTATTTATCACTTATTTGTATTATGTACTTCTTTAGTAGAAAACCACACACACACACGATTACAGCCACAGGAATTGAGCTGTGAAGGAAATAAACTTCCTCAAACCAAACCTTAAGCTTTTTTTTCCATGCTCTGGGAGAATTGGTGAAGTGGTGTTCTGGCTGACACACCAGGGTGACCGTAGTGCTAAGGAGTGAATCAGTGCCATAACCGTGTCTATCCCTGATACCTCCACTACACAGGTTATTTGCATTTTTAGGAAAAATCGTTTAAAAAAAAACCTCAACAAATAAGTCTGTTAAGTCTTTCGTTTGTGCCAGTAGGACTGTAAGGAGAAATGTTTGGTCTAGCAGTAATGGTTTAACTAGAAGAGGAACAGGAAGTTGTGACTGAAAGAGCCCCACACACACAGAAGACAGAGTGGTACAATGCCTCTGTTGAAAATTTGATTGCCAGGGTAATTATTAGCCAACAGCAAAGCCAGATGCATCTGGCATAGTTTACTACCAGATTAGAAAGGAATACAGAGGATGGTCCATAAAAGATGAAATATCCAGTGAGCAGCAGTTCTCTGGGTAAAGATGCCTTGTTGATATCAGAGGTCAAAGGAGAACAGCCAGACTGCTTCACACTAATAGGAAACCAACTGTTACTCATATAACCACTTGTTACAACCAAGGTATGCCGAAGAGCATCTTTCAACATGCGACACTTGAAACCTTGAAGGTTAATGGGCTGGAGTGGTAGAAGACCACATCGCGTGCCACTTCTGTCAGCTAAGAACAGGAAAGTGACGCTCACCAAAATGGGAAACTAGATGACTGGAGAACTGTTGCCTGGTCTGATGAGTCTCAATTTCTTCTGCTACGTTCAGATGGTAAGGTCAGAATTTGGTCTTAACACTATAGCCAGTTTGATTACTCTTGCTGACCTCATCCACCCCCTTTATGATCACAGTGTACCCATCTTTTGATGTACCTTGATATAAAGCACAAATAATCTCAAAATTGCGTCTTCAGCATCTTCACTGTATTCACATGGCCTCCAAAGTCACCAGCTATCAGTGTGTGTTTTATGACAGACAAATGTTGCCCTGGAGTCACCTGCTGTAATAAGAACAACCACAACCACAAAAATTAGATTACCGTTACTTTCCCGTAGGAACGCTGCGTTACTAAAACCGTGATTTTTTTGCCAGAATGTCTCATGACAGTGATGTAAGCAAGTGCGACGTTCGTGACAACAGCTGTGTGCAGATCAACAATGGATCATATATCGAATGCAGGAGAGAGTATGAGCATGCAGCGTTTAAAGCGTGGAAGTACTGACCTTATTTTGAGTTTAATTCCATAAAAAGTGACAAAAACATTAGCGTCCATTGTGCGTGGGAAGAAAACTTCTCTTTATAGCGAAAAAAAGCCCTAAACTTCCAAGCAAGCACCAAGTACGCTGAGAAACTCGCGGATTCTTCAACTGACCGCCGCGGCACACCTGCACCAGGGTAAACCTCCGCCTACGCTACTCCTGCTTTACAGGTGAAAATAGAGCAACAGGACCGCTAGTCTTTGATGTTATTTATTTTCTGCTGTGTTTTACTTGCATCTATTTGAAAGAGTGAGTGTAAACAAAAAAAAAAATATTTTATGTGCTGGAATGTGCAGAAAATAAGTTTCAATGTTAAGCAAATTTCTTCCAGTCAGAGAATGTTGCATATAATTACATTTTTGCTTGATGCATAAAGTTAAAAGATTAAAACTGATAAAACAAGTTAAAAACAAGAGACTTTTCCATTTGATTACATTTTGTATGATTGATTATGCAGAAAAAGTAGAATTGGGCTGAAAGATCTATCGCTTTATCACCTATTCAGGTTGTAAATCGTGTTTTTAAAAAGTAACTAAGTAACTAATTACTTTTGGAAAAAGTAATCAGTAAAGTAACGGGATTACTTTTGGGGGGAAGTAATCGGTAATTAGTTACTGATTACTTTTTTCAAGTAACTTGACCAACGCTGGTCATAGGTCAAGAAAAGGTGCACAGTTTCATTATCACTCTTTGTTTTGTATTTAAAAGGTGTAGATAAAAAGGTTTTTAATGGGGTTTGTGGGTTTTGAGAAGCAGCAAGTTATCGGTAACACTATCATCCAAATGTCAAACGCCACCATCCAAAAATAGCATTGTTTGTGATCAGTCCAGCATGCCTCTGACAAAGCTCAATCTGTTCTCAATGGTATTTTTCTAGACTTCAATCTAACTGTGTGAGAACACCAGTCTGTTTCTTTATGTTTAACAATGCTCTATTCAACAGAAATACAGTGCAACCACACTTTATAAAATATTTGCTATCAGCAAGTTCTCCACTGGGCTGCCACGATGTTGCCTTACATCACTGCTACGAGATTAGTGACCCATCACAAAGCCTTTATTGTGCATCCAATATGAGTAGTGAACGCACAATCCTGCTATCTGTGCTGGAAAAACAACTGTAAATTTAGAGGCAAGTACTGTCCTATTCAAAAATAAAAAATATTGCTGTTATTTGCTACACAGCTTCACAATGTTCTTTATTAAGCAATAATTTTATGAGTATTTTTTATGACAAAGAGATTTGAGAACAAGTCAATTGGCTGATTATCCTGTAATAAAGGTGTGAAGAAAGCATATGAGAATTTTGCAAAGATTGCAAGTTTTTTTAAAGACCCTTTAATACTCTACTAACAGTAGATTTAGGTTATGGAAGGTCAGTTTATTTTTAGTTTCTTGTTCTTAGCTCACAGGAGTGCCACTTGGTGTGGTCTTCTGCTGCTGTAGGCTTCTAATGCTTCAAGGTTTGACGTGTTGCAAATTTAGAGATGCTCTTCTACATACCTCGGTTGTAATGAGCAGTTATTTCAGTTACTGTTGCCTTTCTGTCAACTTTGCACCAAGAAAATCCCTCATAGCTATGGTTTTAAAAATCCAACTGTTGTCTTGACCACTTAGCATATCAAAACTATAAAAAAGGCTGTGCTCAGGTCAGGTAATGTGTAGCTGTATATGTAGACTAAATCTAGTTCTACCAGACTCCATACACATCCATGTAATTGCAACACAGGCTCTCATGGTAGAAACCTTACCGACAACAATTGTTGTTCCCACACATGAGCACCTCTCGTCCCCCGCAGCAGATAGTGCAGTATGACTGGTAGCCGTCGTCGTCGTATTGATAAGCACATTCTAGGAAGCAGTTCTGCAAAAAATATCCAAAATATACTCTAAGACACGGGGTCACATCAGTTGCTGCTTAAAATATGTGTTGTTTATTAGGAGCTTTGAAATTGGCTGTGACTTTTAATAACACCCTAGTTGAGTCCAAGTCTAAGCCTTTATCGCAGCTTACCTTGCAACTCTGACACATTCCTCCAGCAAAAAGAGGGTGCTCAAGGCTAACATTCAGACTTCCACAGGAGATACAGATGTCTGCAGTAAGAGAAACACCGTGTTAGTATTTAACAGGCAGAGCTCTGAGAGGAGTGAGCACCCAGAACTCACACCTCTGTGAAACAAGTTGAATATCTATAAGATACAGTTGTGGTCAGAAGTTTCCATACGCTCATCATGGGACACGAAGGGTAATTTGTACTTTTAATGATTTCCTGTTATTTTTCCAGAGTGGGATGATTGTACAGCATACATCTTTGCACTAGTTTTAATTTATTTTGGATTTTCTCTTATCTAAACATGGTCAGAAGTATAAATCTTTGAATAACTGGTGCTGAAGGTTCTGCAATGTCTTTTAACTTGACAAGGCCTGTTAGCTTCTCATTAGTGATCATGACTGGTAGTTTCTCTTTGCCAGCATTACAGAGGATAGGCAACAACACCAAGAAGCATGCTTAGAGTAGTAAAGGTGAGTGTTTCAACCTAGAAACACTTCGCTATCCAGCTGTCAGGTAATTGTCAAGCATGGTGGTAGCATCACCCAATCCTTTAACTTCACCTCAAATCAACAGCTGGTTGAAACTTTGATATAATTGGATGTCCCAGCAGGGCAACGATCCCAAATACACATTAAACTGATTTTAAAATGAATAAAGCAGGCTAAAATTAAGCTTCTGGAATGGCCTTCCCAAGGCTTCAACCTGAACCTTATTGAAAATGTGTGTACTATGTACCAGAAAACCAACAAATTTAAATTAATTCTGTCAATACCACCTAGAAGACCAGTCAGATATACAGCCATAATTATTCCAGAAGCTTGCTGATGGCTCAGAAGGGTTGAGCTGCAACTTGCTAAGAGAGACTGAATGAAATGTATGTTTGAGCCCCAAATTATTATTCATGACCATAAGTGTGTGTAAACATTGACCACAACTGTAGGTCTAGATCTAGTTAGTTTAGCTATCAGGTTATGAGAAAACAAACAAAGCTGCTAATAAGGTAGATGAAATTACAGAAAACCCATTTCCTCCTTTTTACTCACTGTTATTTTGTGAACACAGATGCATGCATATAATCGGCTTTGCCCGTCAACAACAGGTACAAATAAGAGGTGTGTCGTTGCCTCCTGAGAGGCCCTTCGGTGTTGCTACAAGCAAGAGCACACAGAGAACGTTTCACTTACCCTCTAAGCTGCGGCACTTTTGTCTCACTTCATAAACAAGTCGCTCTGACACAGAGAAATGAAGAATCTGGGTTAGTTCCTTCATTTTTTTTAGAAGTAAATTAAAAAAAAATATAGGAAAAAATAAATAAAACTAAAATTTAAGATGGTATCACGCAAATAAAACTTCTTCGCCAAACATGTCAGAAACCACTTAAAGTATCAGTCATCATGATAATCCCTGACAGCACAAATGCTTTCATGATATATAAAGAAATAATGTAACAAACAGATCATTTGATGGGTCAGTCAAAATACACATTTGGTTATGTTATTGTTGGAGTTTCCTCTGTTTTCCTTGTATTACTATGGGATCTTTATTTTACATTATAAAGCACCTTAAGGCAACTGTTGTTGTGATTTGACACTACATAAATAAAACTGAATTGAATTACACTTCTTCTTTTGTCATTTGGAAGAGACGGAGGATGAGTAATACTTGTAATAAAGACAGGGCACTGTCTTTCTAGATAGCATCTATTTATTGTCTTTAGAGCAACCTGAATCTTTTTGCCTTCTCACGTCACTTGCTAATGGATCTCTTGTCCATACCTTACCTCCCAGACCACTATAGTGATGTAAAACACCGCCGCAACCTCCCCAAGGAGCTGGACACAGAGTTCATGACTCCAATATAACCCAATAAATGAGGCACCTTACCTCGTGTTCTCTCATCAATGATGTCCTTGACCTTCGGTTTCTCTGCTGTGCTTTTGCGAGGCTTTTTGGCTGGAGGAGGTGTATAGGCTGCTGCTTCTGGCTCTACCCATATTTCAGGATAAACTTCTTTGTATGGGTTACGCTCCTCTGGGGTGCACAACAGAAGCAAAAAATTAATATTGCACCAAATGTTATGGATGTTTTTAATTACCAAGTGTATAGAATACATCTGCTATGCCATTATATATAGCAATTTTTAACTCTTCCAGATGGGTCATAAATAGGGTTAAAATAGTGATGTCATCTTACCTTCTGGTGGCTCCAAGCCTTTGGGTCCAGTGGGCTGAAATCCTGTCATAGCCCACTCAATCATCTGCTTGTTTAACATTTCCACGGATTTTGAGGTCTCTGTCTCATCACTGTCAGGGCAGGCCATGAAGGCCTTTCCTGCCCGGCTGCTAGCCACCTACAAACACATTCAAAACGTTTTTCACCAAAAATGTATTCTTATTCTATGATATTTACAGTAAAGATCCTTTAGTCCCATTCAGTTTAATACTATGCCTAAAATGGGTGGATAATTTGAGAGGGCTCTGCCTGCGGGGCGTCTTGGATAATTTTGCTCTTGAATTTCTCATTGAGAGCACTTATTTTGAAATTACTTCTTCATTTTTTTTGCATTTGGCTCTCCAAATTATGGTAATTGCAGAAACGTTTCTGCAATTTTCATAAAGCTTCTTAAACACCCTCTTCCTGAGATGCTCAAAAAGACTGGGGAACATGGAATAAAGTTACTTCTTATTCTATATCTGCAAAAAGACACAAAGACACAAACAAGATGTGCCATGTTAATATTCGTGGCCTTTCTAAAGAACCATTGCAGCTGCTTCAACCCTACTTCAAGTCTTTATGCTATGCCAAGCTAAGTGTCAGTAGGCTTTGGTTTAATGCCACAGCAGATATTGAAATCTTTACATGAAAGATTGAAAACATGTAAAAAATATGAATGTCAGATACATTCGCTTTGTAAGTTTAAAGGTTTAACTACAACGAAAGCTGTGCCCTAAAATCTTCTCCCATGCTCACCTGTAAGACTTCGTAGATGGCTTTCCTGTACATGGGCTGCTTGTTGTAAGTTGGTTGGTGAAAGGCATTGTTAAAGGAACTTAAAGGCAATAGTTTCTCTACACAAACCTGTGAAAATACACATAAAAATAAACGATTGTTTACACCGCATGTTTAAAGGAATCGTGTTGAGGTAAAAAAAAACTTTCCGGACATTGAGTTTTCTGTTTATATTCTAAAGGATCATCTGGCTGAGTAAATAAAACCAATAAGCTCATTATAAAGTCTGTGGCTGTCACTATAAACAGACGTCTGTTTTGCTTGAAGAAGAAAAAAAAAAGACCTAACAGCAATATTAATGTTGGCTCTAAAGACTCACCACTGAGAATTTTCCATCTCCAAACCACATGACCCATCTGGTTCCCTCAGCAGCTCTGCTACGTCCCGTCATCCACCAGGATACGATGCGGCCTGGCCACCAAGAGAATCCTCGGAGCTTCCCCCAAACCAGCTCGCCGATGCCAAAACCACGACCGTCCTGCAGCCAAAAGAAAAGACAAATCATCCCCTCTGCTATGACTTGTGGGCAGAGTTGTGAAACCTTTTTTCAACAGCCTGTCTAGGGATATTTTTTACTTTTCGGATGGTTAGATCGCTTAGATAAAAAAGTTTATATGAAAATGGTGACCGTAGCAACATCACAAATCACCTTTTTTTTCTGAGAAAGCTAAACTCACTTTCCCATAAAATTAACAATGCCAGGGATTTTTATGTGGGAGAAAACTATGAAAAAAGTACAGCTTATGAAAATAGGTTGAATAATTGCCGAATTAAGTAATTGATTTACACATATCTACTCCAAATAACCGTTAAATTAGTGCATATTTAAAAACCTGTCATTTATTTGAATGCTTCGTTTGCCCTTTAAAGTTTGCAGATGTCACAATCAGAATTCTTAACAATCCCAGAAGAAATTATGTAAATATCTGAAATGAATACATTCCCAGAACGTGACCGGCTACCTTGCATGATAAAGATGAACCCTCACCGTCAACTGGATCCTTTATCCAGTACAGACTAGCTTACAACCAGACACGAGTCAGTGGGAAACCCAAAATGATCTTACCTCATACTCAGACTCAGTGTCTGGAGTCTTGGGGGATGTCTTGTCTTCTCCTTCGATGGCGACAGGCTCTGGGGTCGTGGCCACAGTGGGGGAAGCTGGGTCAGTAGGCTGTTGCTGCTGCTGAGGTGGCTGCTGATGTTGCAGTTGTTGCTGTTGCTGTGGCAGCACCAGCGGTGATTGCTGTTGATACTGAGGCTGTGACTGAGACTTAGTGTGTGGCTGCGGCTGCAGCTGCTGCTGCGGCTGCTGCTGCTGCTTTGAAGGCTGTGGGTGTTTGATTATTGAGACCTCTTCATTCCGGGTCTCTGTTTCATTATCCTCGTGATCCTTCATCGCGTTCATTGCTGACATTTGTTTGGCCTTTTTCTCTGCCTGAAACAAAGCCAAGTGATAACAGAGATGAGGACATGATGCGTGCAGTCACTGAGTTTAAGTAAGTTTAAGCTAGATATCAAGATATCAGGAATTTACACTATTAGAGGATTTAAAAAAATATAATTTACAAAAAATATGTATAAATGTGACCAAATCAGACATAGCTGTTTGTATATTAATACAAACAGCTGAAGAATAACTGTGAAAAAAGAAGAAAAAGAAGCCACTTGTGATGAAGCTAACCAGTAAGAGCACAAAGCTGCACTTTCTGGATTGGCCAGTTGAGGCTGGCTCCAACAGCAACTCAATAACCATACCCTCCCATGTTAAAACATGGTTTTGGTATTTATAGAAAAATTACTGCCCTCACACCAGCTGTGCAGGATCTGATTTGTTAACACCTCCGTTTTAAATATTATTAAGCCTTAAAATTACAGGTGGACGGAGCTGTAACAGCTAGCTATGTTCCAGACTTCATCTGCATCTCTCATTTTGTGTCTTTTCATGCAACTTTGTAGGGGTGGGCGGTATGAACGGTATACGGTAGAAACGATATGAATTTGGCCAGCAGTAGATTTTTACTATACCGCTCTACCGCAATAGCGCATGTTGATGGTGTCATTATCAAGCTGCGCTTGGTTGCAGCGGCTGCAAACAACATCATCTAACATTGGGTAGGATGTTTTTTCAGGTAGGATGGATTCCCAGAACACCGGGCATAGCAGTAATAGTAATAGCAAAGAGACAAAGCACTTCTGGAATATGAGGAAAGTCAAAAACTGCGCTTCCTCCACTTCCCTACCATTGATTCATTAATGCCGAATTCTCTCGCAGCTGCTCTATTCCCATGTTGTTGCTGTATATTAATCACTAACCTCGTATTGTGGATGGATTATCTTAGTTGTACTCCTGACTGAAGTTTGGTCCGTTTATAGCATCCTGCTATGCAATTGCATTTGTCCCTAACCAGCAGTTATGCTAACGTAGCTGTTTTGCTAGCGATCACGTAGGACATTATTATATACCAGCTAGTCCAACTTCAGTAACCCTACAAACGTCACTGCTTAGTTTTCTGTCTTCATTTATGTTGGAAGTGATAGCAGAGCTGTACGTTTAAATTACTTCAGATATCTCTCAGTCAGAACATGGCATGTCATGTTTAGGTGGAAACCAGCGAGCTAACTTCCTGCTAACTTCTAACTCCGTTGAATTTAATGAATTCTGTTTTCATGGATGCCTGGATGTTAAACTTAATTGTTACAACTGGTAAAGCAGCAACGCTGATCATTTTATTAAAGATGAAATAATTTAGACAGTTTTTAACTGTCAGTAATGCCGCAGTGTTCCTTTGACTTTGGGACCTGAAGCAGATGGAGTTTTGGACCCACATTACCAGGCTCCTGACTACGGTAGCCGTAATGCTCCGAGGCGGTGTGGCTTCATAGCTTACCAAAGTCGTACTAAAACATTTTTGACAGATTCTTGAGCGCCGTGTACCACATAAAATCTGTTTGAGGTCAGTAAGCACAACCAGAATTCATACATAAGGCACACTGTCGATTTTTGAGAAAATTAAAGGATTTTAAGTGTGCCTTATACTTTGTAAAATACGTTATACAGAAGAAAAGAATATATCGCAATATATATCGTTACCGCACATGCTTCAAATTATACCATGATATGGATTTTAGGCCATATCTCCCAGCCCTACAACTGTGTGACAAATACTGACTTGCTGTGCAAATAATTGTACCTTTTCAAAAATTCTGAGCATCAGTTTTGGTGAGTGATACTTTGTTTATATGTTACTTGGCGCTAATTAGCAGCTGTCTTTTTCAGCATGGTAGCACTAGCTAATAACTTAACTAATACCCCACCAACTTGTCAAGATATGTAATGAAGCACAGGAAACCCAGGTACTTGCAAAAAAAAAAAAAATCAGCCAAGCAATGATGAAACATCAAGATTTCAAATATTTGCTGTCTTAACTTCATTTACTACAATATTTCTCAAAACGCTGTGAAAAATCTAGCTTATTTGAACCAAATCCTCATATAACATACCTCTTGGCTATCAGAGCAGAAACCCCCACGCTTTGCAGCTAAACATGGGTGTGTGACCCTTTAGCCTGATAACACTGTGTGGTTTGTGTTTGATGGACAACCTACTGAAGTGTTAAACTGAAGCTTAATCATTTACCAACGTCCTTTAAGTGAGTATTTATCAATTTGCAACATTCTTAAACCACAAAAATAGGCACAGTTTGACATTTTCAAGTTAAAAAATTAATTGAAAATAAACAAAGGTAGATAAATGATGTGTAACCTGTGCCTCACTTCTAGGCTGAGCTACTGTAATTCGTTATAATCAGGTTGCTTTAAAAACTCCTTGAAGAGCCTTCAGTTGATCCTGAACGCTGCAAGGGATGGATCAGGTGACACTGAACCCTTCTTTAGTAATGCTGCAACAGGCTTAGGCTGCTAGGGGGGGCTTCCTGTTGCTCATTCAGTCTGTTTTCACTACCTCTGTTAATACATCACTAAATCACATTTAATCTTTATTAATTATTAAATATCTCTCCCATCGTGAATCTTTTGTCCTGTCTTCCTCCTGTCATGCCCAACCGGTCACAGCAGATGGCTGCCCCTTCCTGATCCTGCTTGTGGTAAAGGTTTCCTCATGTTAGAAGAGTGTATTTCCTTCCTACTGTCACAAAGTGCTTGCTTATAGGGGGTGGTGTGATGTTTCTTTTTGTTTTTTGTTGGGGTTTTTTTTGGGGGGGGGGGGTCTTACTAACCTCAAGGAAATATAGACGCAATATATCAAAGAAGTTAAAAAAAAAAAAAGTAAAACTGCCAACAACTTCTATGGATACAGCTTTTTACTCACAAGGGTAACAATTTGTTACGCAGCCCAGTCTTCCATAAATCTGGTCATGCATGAAATGCTTCCCTCAGATATAGATATAGCTGTACAGAGGCTGATGGATTTGAAGCTATTTAGCTATAGAACATAAGAGGCACGCCTCATTTCTGCTGTGTAAATGCAGAATGGTAGCCTTTGCAAACGCGTCTTTATCTCTGCGTATGAGACCTATTCATCAGCAGCACTGAATACAATAACTCTATAGTGTACAGACCTGCAGTGTATCGTTCACTTGGTTTGTGGTACCTGACACTGAACCGCTAGGTCGATCAGAGAGGACGAGACACAGCCGGGACTTAAGCCTCTCACAGCAAATCCCCAACAGCTGCACTCATTCTGATGTCTCTCTCTCTCTCTCTCTCTCAAACACACACCCAGTAGGGCTGTACTGCGAACACGTGCTAACTTTCTTCTTCCTTTCTTTCTTTTCCTTTGTCACACACAGAATATATGCAGTACCATATGTAAACACGTGCTGGTCATACTATAGGCTCCACGTGAGAGCAGTGCTGCACAGCTGTGCTTACTTTTGCTCAAGTGTTTCTCAGGTTCTCATATCTCACTCAGAGGCTCTGTGGGAAGAGGAGGAAAAAAAGTCAAACAGCAGAGAGGCTGAGAGAGAGTATAGCACAACGCTCCGTCCTCTCCCCCAGTGTGACTAGTAAACAATAGCGCCTTTAAGGGGAGGTAGTGCCGAGCATGGGGAGGGGTGTCGGCGCAGAAGAGTAGAAACATGTGCTCTTCAATCAAGAGGCTCTGCTGTGGTTTATAAATATCTGTACTGTAGTGCGGGATGGATGGTTCAAAGCCCTCGGCCATATGTGTTAGGCCTCTTGGCTCCAGTACAAGAACACTGAAGTTAGTGTTCGAGAGCCCTGCGTGAATGTGCGGTTCCAGTTGGTAAAATACAAAAACTACCAAATGCCAGTTAAGCTGACATAGTTTGCGGTGGAATAATCCGTGTTGTTATGGGCAAGTGAGGAGGGCAGTCACTGGTGTAGCTGTGACGAAATGAGCTGACTTAAGACTAACTGGAAGGGGGGTTTAATGAATTAAACTGGCACAGTGAGTTTCTTCATATTTGTTGACTGGTAATTGCAGGTATACAGAGTTATCTGTAAAAGCCAATGAAGCACCTTTTTCCTGCATTCGTTTTTGTGTTTTTAGGACTCGGCTGTCTCCATGACTCCTTCTCCTCGGAGCCAATGAGAAAGTGACGCTGAAAATGCCAGTGGGGGGAGGAGAGAAAGTACAGTGGCTATAAGAACCAGATATTTGTCTTGCCCCCTTTTGGGGGCCTCACAGTGTGTGTGCAGCTCCACCAGCAAGACAGGCCCTCAGAGTCTAAAGGGGAAAATACGAAAGGAGGTAGCAGAGACACAATGCGGTCTTTATCACTTACACACGCCTGCCCGTCACTGACAGCTTAGAAATACCAGATACCAGAAATACCATATATCCGCTGTCACGCCGTGCTGAACAACAATACCAAAAATGACAGCAGACATACTGTAGTTGTAAAAACACTGCAAAATAAATGTGCTGAAAACAACTACACAATCCCCCTTCCCCCGCCCTCCAAAAAACTATGTTAAATGTTCTAAAGTATCATGCAAGACTAAGCTTCCAGTGATCGTGGACTTTGTTATGAGCAGAGAGAAAACAGAAGCTCTGCAGGCCCCTGGCAGACTGTGGAGACATGTTGGGCGCACAATAAGGGATAATCAGACTTAGAGGCTGTGCTGCATGATACCCTGAGGGCTCAAGGGGTGACAGAGTGCACTGCAACGGAGGAAGAAAAAAAAGAGAAGTGATATTGGTCTCTGGGGTGTGCAGATGATACTTTACTATCAAATCTGGCAGCACTTGTTAACAAAAAGGTCACTTTTACTGCATAGCTGCAGTCAGCAACTGTCTATTATATGGTTATTAACTTTACAAGTTATAGACGTCTCAGTATTTACGGGTCAAAGATTTAAAAGTGCAGTTGCTGAGATGAAACAATATTAAAAATAATATGATCCAGCTACAAAGAGAAAATCAAATCTGATTACAGAGAGAAGCGTGTTAAAACTTCAAGAAAAAATGCCATTTAGTCAAAACAATCAGGTATCCTAAACATTAGATGAAATACACTGTCACAAAAATTACACTGAGCCTTTGAAACAACACAAAAGAGTGTGACCTTTGAATGCAGTAGTCTGTCATGCGCAACAGGCAGGGCAGGCACAGCGGGGACTCATTTGTGTGACTGTGTGATGGATAATGCAGTGAGATGTCTTTTCAGTGCAAAGACCTAAGCTTATCTGCTGAGCAGAACTGCAGGAAAATAATAAAAACTAAAGCCACAACAGGTGTAGTTAACTCCAAATGGAGAATAATCTGATCCTAAGCTTTGAAAAAGCTTTTAGCGTGGAAATACTTTGCAAAAATGCACAAATGTCAGGTTCAGCAGCTACTGCTTTCATTAGGCTGTTTTTAGCACTGATCCCTACAACACGAGTGTCCTCGGAAGAGGGGGTGCGGGGGGTCACATTGCCCAGAAAATACGTTTTAAAAAAGGCCATCTGTTTCTCATTGTATTACATCCCTTTAAGAGATAATTAGGAATTTTACAGAGCTACCCATGAATACATAAATCAACTTCTCCATTAATCCACAACTAGAGTTGTTAACAAAAAAAGCCACTTAAAATATTTCTAAGGGATTGAGTTTTTACAGTAATCTATGTTAGGAGTCAAACAGAACAAAGTGCACAAAGATAGGAAGAAAAGGGCTTTGAGGCCTACACAACAACTTCACTTCACACTTTTTCTAGGTGCATGTTATGTAAGGTGAAGGATACCGGCACTGAGGAAATAAAAAACAAACATTTTTTTCAAAAGTTAAATATACTTCACCTCTAAAAACAATGCTATTCTAACATTTCTAGCTGCTGCTCTGAAGCAGGAAATAGTTTGAGCAAGTATTCAACCCACGGGAAAAAGTTTTTTTTCATGCCAATCAACTTTTTCCCAAACACGGCTAAAGCTCCCTGCTCCCTCTTCCTTTTTAAAGAGACGTTTCCCTTTAAGCCGTGCAGAGCAGATGGTCCACAACAATTCTCGTGGAAATACCTGAAGTCAGCATATTCCCCTCGCTGTAAGCAGGCTAATCAGACATGCACACTATCCCCCTGTGTTATCAAACAAACAATGCAGTGCACATACCCATACACGCCAGCGTGCAACCCTCATAATCCAGTGTGGGGCTGAAGTTTTTTTTCCACCCCCACTCTTGGCGTAGGAGAGATCGCTTAAAAAAAGAAAGCATGAACATTTCTTTGTCTGGGAATTCAGGGTCAGGTGATTGCCGACAGGAACGCTGGTTGGCTAGAGAGGACTTGCAAAGTTTTGGCAAGGAGCCAAGAGGCTCTCTTGCAAGCAGGGTTGGAAATTTGCTGCAAACCTCATCTTCACCCTCATATCCATAGCACAGAGTTCATTTCCATAGCTGGGGGAGGGGTCCTTGGAAGAATGGAGCAGGGAAAAGGAGAGGGAGAGACCGAGAAGTCCACTGTAACACAGGGCAAATGAAACAAACAGGGATCCTGGAGAAAGTGCAAGACAGCCTTTCAACAACATATGGCCCCTGTTGCAGCAGAATGCAACAGCAAAGATCTTTGTAGCAAGAGCTACGGGATATGAATCATATCAAGAAAGGGCTTTTATGTCAAAACAAATCACCCTTTTATGCAAATGAGTTCAAAGCTTGCAAAAAGCCAGATAAGAAAAGGATGGGGAAGGGGGGGGGGGAGCAGGTACATTCAAAATTTGCATCTTGCAAATCCCCGTAAATCCCTGTCTTGTACAGCTACTTCTTCAAGAGTATCCACCTCTGTTTGGAAAATGTGAACTACCCACTTTGTATTTTATGACATTTCACTCGTTGAACTAATTTGGCAATATTTTCTCTCTGGAGACACTTTTACGGTCCCGAGGAGAGCAGAGGGAGAAGCGAGCAGCAGAAGAAATGGAAGACTCCCCATTATGTAACAGATGAAGGTAGGTGCCATCACATTACTATGAGGATTAAGTAAGCAATGTGGAGAATTTTACAATGATGAAGGATGATCTATCATCATTCACAGATGATAAATGTTCTAAAAAGAAAAATCAAGGATAAATATTTGCCAGAAGATAAAAGAGCAAGCTGTGTGATTGTTCTGAGTGTAGTTAATGGATATAAAATATTGTTTGAAGTGTGTTAACAGGTAGCACAGAGGTCTTCATAAAACCTGCGTAAAAATCCCCTCCTTTATTTGGAAGTGGCCACTGGTTCTGGCAAAAATAAGAAAAAAAGGAAGGCCAACTGTACCACAATGCAACATCATCCAACAGTAAAATTAGACAAGTGGAAATTCCTGGTTTGCAAATGCTGTTTGATTCAGCAAGAGTACTATCAGGGACCATAAAAACAGATCATATTTCTCCTATTTCAGCTTCTCTTTATTGGCTTCCTTCTAAATCCAGGAATGACTTTGAAATCCTTATTCTGACAAAGTCCTGAATCATCAGCCTCCAACATATTTTTTTGTATTAGAGCAGTTCACTCTCAGAGTGTAGACTAAAAGTAGAATGGGAGGCAGACCCTTCAGCTTTCAGGCACTTCACCTGTGGAACCTCCCAGTTTGCATTTGGTAAACAAGCATGCTCTCTAACTATCATATTTGATAAAGCTTAGAATTAGCGCTGTACTCGGTGACCCTGGACCTTCCCTTAATCCCCTAGAGACTGAATGGCGACCGCCTGGTCAGAAAAAATATATATGTAATTAGTCAAAAAGATGATGACATGCAAAAAATTTTCTTACAACTGCTTTGGTTGCTAGTATTTCGCTGCAGTCGCCCATACAGAAGAGGTCAGCTTGTCTAAAAGCACTCCAACTACATGCTAAACCATAGGGAGTCTGTGAAGAGTGGAATGCAAACAATAAAAAGGAAACCATTTATTTTCACAGTAAAAGTTGCATCTTTTGAAGTGTGTTGGTTTCAGCAAAAAGGGACAACTTTTACTTGAATAGCAAAAGTTCTACTTTTGCACTTTGCAAAAGTAGAACTTTTTCAAGTTTTGCAACCACATGTTTGCAAATCCATGCAACCACAGCCACAGAAATCTGCTGCTGAACAAACCAATTAGGTTTTTGATGCAGCACCTTCTTTGCATCCAATCTCACCCAGTAGCAGCCAGCAACCTCGAGGAACCACTCAGCAACCTGTCAGGGCATACACATTTTTCTCTACCGACTGGAGATTGGCAGGGGGTTGCCAACCTGTCTGAAGACCTGTGCGACTGAGGCCTTAGTTATGCTGCTACCAACTGAAGCTGCTGGGGGACTTCCCATGATGCACTGAGTGCTTCTTTTCGACTCATGATGCATTTACATGCCACTATAAAATCTACTTTCGGCAGCCCCATTATTCAATAGGGATTGCTACAGCTGGTTGCTCAGTATGTTTGATTTGGCAATACTGTCAGGGGGGCTTTACTTTAAAATACAAAACACCTTGAGGCGATTGTTGTTATGATTTAGTGCTACATATAGCTATATATACAAATTAAATTTACTCTGCAACTGTTGGGTTGAAAGATGAAATGATTGCTACTGTGATTACGTTTCAAAGCAGTAAAGTCGGCTGGTGTTTGTCCAACAGAGGAACTCTGACTTTGTCTATAATACGTTCTGCAGTACAAATAGCAAAGTACACAGCACAGCTGCAGATGGTGGGCAGAGTCAAGCAGTGTCTTCACATCAAGTTGTTAACAACCTTACAAATACATTGCTAGAATTTTTTTAAGTGCATCTATAATACACTACTTTTTTCTATTTGACTGAATACACAGGAAGAAAATGGGTTAATATGCTGATAATTACTTTTTTTACTCCTGAATCCTTTCCCATTAAATTATGAACCCGTGCCATATATAAGCATCCGCGAAAGCTTTGAAAATACTACTCTTACAAGATCATCCTCACACTGGACTTCTTTAATTTTTAAACACCATTTCTTAAATCTAAACTTAGTCTGATCTAGCCAATTAAAAGTACATTCGATATTAACAAAGACAGAGGGAGAATCTGTCCTTAGGAGACTGCATTGGCTGGCTCAGCTTCAACACACCAAAAGCAGTCAGAATGATGCAAATCGAAATGTAACACATTTTCATCCAGGAGGCATGAATCATATCAACACACCAAACGAATGCTATTTACACAGCTGTGTGTGATTTCTTCTCTGCAAATGCAAGACACAAGAACTAAGCCAGGAGACACAGGAGCCTACTGAGCCAGAAAGGCCTGGAAATCCACTGAAATAAATGGTACCTTCATGAGATATCAAATGACCCATCAAATACACTTGGCAGAGCATGAATGCACTACGAGCTCTGTCTTTTACCCTGGCGGCTTTAGTCAACGCCTGTCACTCATCCTGCCGTCTGTGGTGGCTGGGACAGAGCTGGGGTACTCACCTCCATCTTCCACTTGGCCAGCAACTCCTCTCTGGTCCTCTTGCTAATGTAATAAGGGTCACCAGCCTGGAAGGTTATTCTGGGCATGGGCCTCTGACGAAGGCTGATCTCCCAACCAACTCCCCCTCGCAGCCTGCCTCGACCTCCCTGTTTAAGGCGTTAAAAAAAAAAGTTAGCTATTTGTTTTTGATTCTTCTTCTGAGAGTTTCTGTCATAAGGAAGCATCCAGATTTGTAGTAAAATGACTGATCTGTCGCTACAACCTGCAAATTAACAATTTAGGTAACAACTGGGTAATAATAAACTTAAGATGGGGTTAACTACATTGCTAAAAATATGATGTCTCGCATGCTGGTGATTGGTCAGGCAGGAAGAAATGATGTCACCATGTCTAACAGACTCAAGGCCAACAATACCGACTTATACAACAAGCTCCCAAGTGTATTTGATATTTCAAATTTATACACCATCAGGTACCATTTCTTTCATAAGTCCAAAGGCAAGAAAACGAATAGCCTCCACTTGTGTAATGGTGCTGATACAGTTTAGGCTTCTTTGCTCCATTTATGGGAAGGCATGTGGCAAAAGTTTAATGAGTAAGTTTAAAGGAATAGCTTCTCATTTTTGCCATGTTCAGTTCAGAACCCAACCGGTTTGACTTCTGGTTTGACACGAGCAAGGTAATTCACCCACTTCAATAAATGAAGCTACACTTCTGCAACGTGGGACAGTCACCTTAGCTACATTAACCAAAGAATAAAGACACAACAGGACAGAAATCTTACCTCAGTCTTTACCGCATCACTCCCATCCTCCTCCTTGTGCTCCACATCTAGAGAGAAGACAGTGACACAATGGATGGCCTGAATCATTCATAAGAGAGAGGGAGCTGGCATCGGCTTTCGCTGTATCAATGTTGAGCTTCAGTGAGCTCTCGTCCATCACTGAGCCATATTATACATATATTAATCTGACCCCCATAAATGACGTGTTTGATCAAATTAAAGTCAAGTTAATAAACTGCTGAAAGATACCATAGCCACTCCGAACATTCGGAGGGCCTGCCCAAATTATGATGAAGATGGAGGGTGGCCAGGATTACTTGCAAATGTTGTGTTTCTGACCTGATATCCCCCCTTCATGAGAAACACAGCTGGCTGCCATTAACATGGCCCCTCCCTAACTACTGAGAGTGAGTTTTGAAGGCAACAGTACACTGCTTCACGTCTGTGACTCTGTATATAATCTCCCCGCCAATCTCCAAAGCCTGAAATGGATCGACACAGGATTCTCATTTCCCTGCAGTTGTCTTGTGTAGATGGAGATGTATGTAGTGAGGAGACACAATAGCCAGTGCTTGTCAACATTATTTTGGAAGGAAAAAAACTGCCTCCTATTTTGTGTATTAAAGCTGAGGAGTGAATAATTTACTTTGTACCTTAGCTGAGTACAATTTTGTCAAAGCTAAGTTTGGGCATTCAAAGATCACAGACTTCACAGCTAACAGGAGGGTTTCACCTCACAGTTCATTCAGTAGGAGTTTTTATTTTAATTTTATTTTTTTCTTAGTTTTAAAAGATTTATTTTCACATTTGGAACTGTTTTAATAAACCCCACTGAATCAATTTAATGGAAAAATAAAAAAGAATAAAAAGAAAACCTGACAGCTGAGGCCAGCTGGCTACAGTCCAAATGACATCTTAAATTATCCAAAAGATAACTGCAGTGTCATATCTTTGTCCACACATATAAACACACACACCTACACGCACACACGCACACTTACACAGTTACCTGCACACACCTGTTTAATAGACTTCTATTTGATACGCCTTTCCAAGCCTATCTTTAGTTTTCCATTTTAAATATATTGTTTGGGTTTTTTTTATTCCTTTCCACACTACACTCTTCATGATGGAGTCAGGATAACAGCTGGGGGGGACACTTCATACAAATACGCTGCTGCTGCCACAACTCAACTATTTTTCCTTCTTGGTTGTCCCAGTCAATTGGTTTAGCCCATTTTAAAATCCACTGATACCATTTAGACACATCACTTCATGATGCATTCCTGCTGGCTGGTTGGAAGACATTAAAGAGGTTGAAGCTCCAGTGCTTACTTGACCAATACGTAATGAAGTACCACAGGTTTTCCTGGATTGTCAACCTGTCTAAAACTACTGCTTATCTCCACAGACCTTGGAAGTAGGTGAAGCTGTGCTAGAAATGTCCTAAATATTAGACACTGTGAGAATTTTTTTGTCCCAGATAATCTTCGGTTGCAGGACTTCTACGGCGGCCAACATTGAACGCCTCTCGCTGTACAACACAAGAGCACCGTTTTGGGATTTCCATTATCTTGGACACCCCAAAATTGCAAGCTGGCTTTAACACTGCCAACACTATAGAGAAAAAATCCCTCATGCAACCATGGCGATGAGATAAAATGAGTATCACCAGTTTTGATATAATATTTCTGAGGGACTTCCTACAGATTATTAGTACGGTTTACTAGACTACATTCATGCAGCAGTTAAAAATGTCTGATTGCCACTGTACAGCTTTTAGAATATGATATCACACATTAAATTATACAACAGCACAAAAGTAGTTCAAATGTAAGTAGTAGGTCAAACTAGAGCAGGGCGATATGACCAAAAATATTTATCGCGATATACATTTGAAAATTTGTGATAACGATATAATTGACACTAGACAAAATACTTTACAACTCCACAACTTTATTAGTGCAAAAAAAATCCCATCAATGTATTTTTACTTAAACAAGCAGCTGTTTTTATGAGCATTAAAGTTATATAAAAATTTAACAGTGCAAATGCAAATTCCTTGCTGACAGTTTAACCAAAAGGCATTTCCAGTGTAAATTGGCCTCAGCATAACCATGTATAATATCCATAAAACTTAAAAAGAGGTTAAACACACACAATACAATAATATTATGTTGAAGCACAGTACGTATCACTCTGCGAGGCTCCTGCCTACAATAGCCGTAATGCTCCGACAATCGATCAAGCAGTCCGGGTTCGTAGGTTAGCAAAGTCGTATTAAAATATTTGACAGATTTTCGAGCGCCGTGTACGACATAAAATCATTTCGAGGTCAGTAAACACAACCAGAATTCATACATAAGGCACACGGGATTATAAGGGGCACTGTCGATTTTCAGAAAAATCAAAGGATTGATTTTAAGTGTGCTGTATTTTCCAAAAGACACGGTAATAACGACGGCCTCTAGCATGCTCTACCAAAAATAGTGCTTTGTTGTGTGTCTGACAGACGAAAGCTAAACCATTTCCACACCACTGAAGTTGCAGCATTTTTACAAACCAATTCTGGTTCATCCGTTTCATTCAACGACCCGCTTTCGCCCTTCTCATTCTCCGCCATGCTTTTTCCGCCATGTGCGTATGAAAAGAAAGGCACTACGCATGTGCGTTTTACCCATATTCTATCGCGAAATTTCATTTTCTTATCGTTGCCCAACATTATAACGGTATTACCGTAAACGGTATGATATGGCCCAGCCTTAGGTCAAACTATAACCAGCTACAGTAATAATATAGTAATAAGAATCTTTGTAAACAAGCAAGCGTTCAAGAATTTTGAGCAATATTTAGATTTTAAGTGGATGAGTCAATCTAACAACTATAGTCCTTCATTTATAAGCAAAAAGACAACTAATCATGGATATGTGTGGGTTTAAGTGGGCAGAAACTCAGTGTAAGAAGCTAAATTTTTTCAGGGTGCTATTCTTGCCAAGAAATGAGGAGATATTCATATAAGAAAAGCTCTAACCGCTGTATTATGGCATTTTGATCCAAAAATGCAAACCTCTCAACATTACTACTGGAAAATTCTACTCTTCTTTTTAAAAATCTGTAAAAACATTCACGCAATTACATGAAATCATCATGCTTTACCCACCGCTGATATATTATTACTGCTCAAGACGCTAAAGAGTACCAGCAAGTCCAGTGTTTTGCACAGGAAAGAGTGCCTAACTGTACAGAGGAAGTTGCGAAACCGTAAGTGAGAGGTACAGCAGCGGGGTAAAGCTGTCAAAAATGGCACTGAAAATATTTGCTGAAACGTGCACTGAAACCGCAGTCTAATAAAAATGCTTCAAACACAGTAAAAGCTCCAGTTGGGATTTCCCATTAACTTGGCCATGATTTAATGTCTGGGGGTGCACACCAACAACGGCATGTTATTCATTCTTAAAAGGCATTGTTTGCCTGTGTTCAGCGGAGCAGCGAGAGGTTAGCCTGCGAGCATGGATATCACCCAACTGAAACGCTAGCCTGGCAGCAGGGATTCATGATTTATGAAAAGTTTTTCTGCCACAGTGGCTGCAGAAACATTGATAAGCAAGCCAAAATCAGCTTCATCACAGAAGCTCAAACCAGAAGCTCGTGCATTACTTTCACTATGTTTAATCTGAATGAAGGCACGTGTTTTGAAAAGGGCCCTGGCTCAGTGATATTACACCGGGGCAGCATACACACAACATTGAGGCAGCTGTGGCCTGAATTGGCATGATGGCACAGCCAGAGTACACATAACTAGCTGCTGTTTTAAAGCCCAAACACTATCATAACACTCGAGTCCTAAGAGGTTAAGGACAACTTTTGATGGCGTGTTTTCTGCACAGGATTGTTAGTGAAGTGCCCTGCAAACCTGTCCAAACAATAGTCCGCTCTCTTAGCAGCCTCTTCAAGTTGGTTCCATGTGTGGCTGAACTTGCTGCACCACCACCACCACCCCCCCACACACACACCCTGACCCCACCCCTCTCTACTGGTCTCCTTGTCCTCATCGGGAATAAGTGACTATATAACAAATCGGTGAGGCATGCACACTGCCAAGGTCACTGGGTTTGCATGAGGAGCTGGCTAATGTTGCCCACAGAGAGTATACTTTGCCAGTTTGAGTGGGTTCCAGCTCTAGTATTGCTGGAGCTCAGTTCAACTCCTGCTGGAGCTAAAGTCCTTCCTGTACCCTCCAGATGGATAACAGAAACCCTGTTTAGCTGACTATTGATCGACCGCAGTGCCTCCCACCAAGGTCTCTCCACTCTAAAAAGGATATACCAACACATTTTAAATGTTTAGTTAAAACCTTAATAAGCCCCCTGCATGGATTGTTTTGGGATTTTTTTGCAGTCTGATATGCTGTTGAGTATAATGCAATAAGGTAAATGTTAACATCATACATGCGCATGCACGAGTGTTTGCATAACGCCTTGCTGCTTTCACATTTCTGTAAAATGTCACCATCCTTTCTCCATGTTGATTTAAAAAAAAATCTTAAAATCTCAAGCAAACTTTCTGCTGTATCATCCCACATAGCTGCTGGTGAACACCATGATGCAGCCATGTCACTAACATCTGCTGCAGATTTTGAAGGACTTGCAGAGTGCTTGCAAACCTCTACTCTGAGTATCTGATTGTGAAGGTTGTTTGTTTGACTTTGTGGCTAACGGTGCTTTATCACACTACCTAGTTCCTCTGTCTGACAAACTGGTCTGACATGTCGACAACTGGTCTTATCTTGTGAGAGAAACTTTGCTGAGACCTTTCATTTCTGTTACACAGCTAAAGTGGAAAGGAATGCTTATAGGTTGTTTCCTGCAAACTCCCACAATTCACTCTAGATTATCACGGCACAGGGCTCATTAAAAGTGGTTATCGTGGAAAAGAGTGCTGACAACCCTTTCAAAATTTTAGAGATTAGGTCATTCTTTATGTGGTCTTAATGTTTGAAAAATAATTACAAACACATTTGTCACTGAAACACTGGGAATTTACAAAGCTGCTGTTAATTTTCTGAATTAGCATGCTCCTATATTAGACTAAAGTTGTAAACAGTGCTTTAATGCTTTAATGTTGCACTTTCCACTGGTTTCAAATCAGTGTCCTCAAAAAAGACACATTCTTTGAATAGAGGCACGAGTAACACTTTTTCTGACAGTAATATTAGCCTTTTGACAGACTGGTCAAGTGCTTTTCAATAGTTTTAACTTCATGCAGTCCCTAATAGTATACTCCCTAATAGTTTTCACTTCATACAGTCTACTTCTAAGGCTTCTCCTCACTGTAAAAATAAAAAAAGATGCGGTGCATTGATTAGCGCTGTCACCTCACAGCAAGAAGGCCCTGGGTGTGAATCCCAGCTGGGACCTTTCTGTGTCAAGTTTACACATTCAGGTTTAACCGGTAATACTAAATCAGCTGTGGATGTGAGTGTAAATGGTTGTCCGTCTCTGGGTCTCTTCCACAGTGTTTTTTATCCTGTCTTTTGTCCAGGTCACAGCAGACAGCTGCCCCTCCCTGAGCCTGGTACCCCTGGAGTTGTTTTCCTGTTAAAAGGGAGTTTTTCCTTACCACTGTTGCCAAGTGCTTGCTCATAGGGGGTCATCTAATTGTTGGGGTTTGCTCTCTATTATTCTAAGGTCTTTACCTTGCAATATAAGGCGCCTTAAAGCAACTGTTGTGATTTGGCACTATATAAAAAACTCAGTGGAATTAAATTGTCTCACTGTGTTAGCCCTGTACCAAATTGGCAGCCCGTCCACGGTGTACCTTGGCTCTCACCCTATGACAGCTGGGATAGGCTAGTTCTCCCCACGACCCTGAATCAAATAAGCGGAAGAAAATGGTTGGCTCAAAACACTTTCATGATTTATCAGAGAATTACCATCATTAAGGTAGAAATGTGGAAATCAGATTTCCATGCCATCTGCGTCCCATGCTAATGGTGAGCGGCACTGGACTGAGCTTTAAGAAATCTGACCCTTTTTCACCTGCAGCCAATATGCATATTCCTGCCTTTTGCTTGGAAGTGAAGTAACAGATCCTAGAAGCACAGATCAGGTGTATGCAGAGTGCAGACTCAGTTTGTAAAGAGTTCTGGGCACAAAGCCATCCACCTGGCAGGACCCCCGACAGGGAGGTGGCCACAACAGAGACCTGCCAGCTCCCAACAGAGGCCCGTTGCCAGGAGAGAACTTGCTCCTCCCCTCGATTTATTTATTGCACTCATCAAGGTCATAGCCAGTGTGTCTGCCGACTGAGAGCGGAGCAGGAGAGGCACGTGGCTGAGGGAGAGATAGGACAAAAAATGGAGTGCATGTGTGCTGTGATGGGTGTGTTGGGGGGGCTAAGTGATATGGTTAATCTCCATCTTGGCCTAAAACCTACCTGTCAGCAGTATTTTCTCACAACAATGCCCCACTGATTTACATCGCTTTACATGGTTGTTTTATCTCCTGGTGCACTGCGACTGGTGCTGATTGAGTCCAACAGAACAAAAATCTGATCTATACAAAATAATTATATTTGCCCTAATTATTTTGTCAAATTATTTCCTGAAAAATAAATATTTGAGGCATTCTTCAGTACGACATTTCCTTTTTGTCCTAATTTTCTTGCATCCCTCTATTATAAACGATTTAATCCCGCTAATTTTAACTGTTAATGTGGCCATATTTTCAAAATGAACATGAGTAGAGTAATAAATTACATGCACTAATCATTTTGTCTGTTACGTTGTACAAAGTCCAATAAATGCAGCGAACATTCGCATTCGAGAAGCTGGCAGCAGAAACTACTTGTGCATGGAGAAATTATTAGAAAAACTGAACAGACAGATTAATAAATAATTGCTTCTTTAATCTAAAACTGCACACTGGGAGCAGAGCCTGTTCTTGTCTTATTAAAAAGTTAAACATCTGGGCATTTTCCCTAAATTTTTAATTAAGTGTTGTCTTCAAGATTAGTTTGTGAATTCATACTGTCAGAGCTGCTGGTACATGTAGTCTGCGTTTTGATGTTTTAATGAACTGCTGGATGAGTCGAAACCTTTGGGGTAAATTAAATTTGTATTCTTTTATATCCTGCTAAAACGGCACATTGTAATTAACTTAGAGGATAGCATAATAAATGTAAAGTGATCCACTCTTCTTTTCACTACATTATCTGGTAATTATCCCTTTCTTTTTTCATTACATTTGCAATTTCATTTTTGTCATATGGAGCACGCTGAGCTTTTAAATGCCAACTGCTTCTGCATACTGAAAGCATTTGGTAGCCCAAACTGAGGCAAAATAAGCGACATATTGCATGCATAACATTCTGCATACTGTGTCTCACATAAATGTTAACAGTGGAGATCATCATCACCAATTTGCTTTGCAGACTAGTCTGTGCAGCAGCATGAAGGCACCTCTTCGAGCCCAGTGTTACTAATCCTGGCAGCATCAGTCGACCTACTTGGTCTGACATCCATTTACGGTTCATTACTCAACATCTTGTACTTGTCACACGCCCAGGATTTTTTCTTCCTGGAGCCACACAAGACTGATCAAAAGATAATAAACCTCAACTAAAAACTAAAAAAAAAACACAAATGAAAATGGCCAAAATCTTACATTTAGTTGGGTGCTCCAGTTTCCGCCTCCCTCGTTTCTTGCGCGGCGTCATCAGGCAGTCATCATTGGCTTTCTCCAAGTCCTGTTCTTCCCGGCTGGACAGGAATCCGTTCTCTTGAGGATGACTCAAACTCTGCCCCTGAGAGCTGTCCTCCGCACGGCAGGAGGAAGGGTCTCTGGGAATCCCATTCTCGACTTCCCGCTTCTCCTGTTTTGGGAAGCAGGCATCGGGCATCCTGTCTCTGATCCCGCCCATGTCCCCATTGAAGACCTGTGCCATCGCCATAGTGTAGCTGTGGCCTACACTCGCACTGTCTTTAAGAGAGCCACAGCTCTCAACCTGCTGAAAGGAAAAGGGGAGGTTGAAATGTTAACATCCTGATGATCGATCATCCTTAAAGATTCTTACAGCTGTATGCTATAAATTGATGTTTTCAAGTGTACAACAGAGTTGTGCCTCAGCAGTCATGAAATATGACTGGATAGCTGGCTGTGAGATAAACACAACCTTTCTGAATTTACAACAAATCATCCAGTGGATCTGAACGACCCACAATAAAACAGTTGGCACTATCCGTGTCAGGATAAGCACTTTTCAGCGGTGGCTAAATGGCCTTTTTCAAAGAGAATGTGAATGAAAGCATTCATCTCTTTCATATTAGACAAGCCTAATTAAATTTCCTCAGCTCTATCTGGACAGAATCAAACATGTAGCTCAGCCCCCCACGTATTAATCAGTGAATTATGGCAAACTTATAAACTTCAAAGCTGTGCCAGTAAATGTGCTGTACAGCCATTAACTTGCAAGAAGGAAAGGGATTACATTACAGTTCATCAGGTACACTAGTGCACTTTTTGTAGTCATGTATTCATCATTACAGCAGCACAGAAATATGTTGAGAATGTTGGCTGTTTGACAATGGGAAGGCTTTTTCTCCGGCCAGTTTGGAACGCCCAGTCAAGTGTTTCATTCTATAAAGCGGAGTAAATTCAAATAGAGCTGACCTGAAGCTGAAAGTTTCAATGGCAGGAACTCAGTCATCAATCCTTAAATAAAACACCAACTATCTTAGAAGACCTAGAAAAGTCCTAAATGTTTGAAGCAATGTAATAGTGTCTTTGCTACTGCCTAAAAATAGCCCTAAAAACCGAGTTAGTGAGACAGTCCCACTATAGGGTCACTGAGGGGAGAAAGTGGAGTGTGTCTTGTGAGATTAGACTGTCAGCAGTTACGACAGTATCTGAAACTTTTATCTGCAGGTATTTACAGAAGTTTGAGGAAGGGGGAAAGCAATGCCTCAGGAGGCTTGTCTGTCATCGGACGACGTTGAGCAAAGATCCTCTCCAGGAAGGTAAGGATCAAATCCGTAATCTGATTCTTACAGTCGGAATAAGCAAACACAACTTAAATCAAGTTTTAATGTCTGTGTAATGGATGCAATGCAAATTATGAGTGGCAGACATGCGAAAGAAAAAAAAAGCTTCAGTGGAAGTTGCTCTGAATCGTAAAACAAATCTACAGTAAGCCAAAGTCGGTTTCAAAGCATTCTTCAGAGGCCACAGAACTCTAAACGACTTCATCACTGTAGTAACTGAGAACAAATTAACTGTAAACTGAACAATTGCACTCCTACAAAGAACAGCTCTCCAGTAAATCTCTTTGACACGATGAATGAAAACAACCCAGAGCTCAGACATTATTAATATTCTGACTCAGTTTACTACTAGAAAAAGTGGCTACAGTGTGTGTGTGTGTGTGGGGGGGGGTTACGCAAATATCACACACATGCAAAAAAAAAGAAGTAAGCAAAGAGAAAACCCAAAAAACTCATATTCTCAGACACACATGCTAGCAACACACAGAACTCACAGTGAAAGAATTACGCAACAGATTTGTGACATAGTTAACAACATGCGGCCCCTGCTACAGGTCAAAAGTCAAAGTTGGTAAATCAGGCAGCTTAGACAGAGAGAGAGGTTGAAAAAATAAAGACTAATTACCTCAACCAACTTACTGCTACAACACTCACACACCCTCATAGAACTAGGTGCAGTAATAATATGATTATAAAGGTTTCTAAAAATACACATTGAAATTAAAATTAAATGCAGATGTACACCTGAAAATATGAGCTAATAATTCATTACACTGCCTGATAACTTCTTACGTTATTCAATTAACAGCAACTGGAAACTGTTATGCTGCCTTTCTACATGTTATTATCATTGATTGAAGATCTTCTGTTTCTGGAAAGCTAGCTGAACAGGAAATATTATATGTTTATGGGAGTTTTTCTTTATTTTCAGGGGTTTTTTTTAAATACCACTCCAGTGTTTGATCTGTTTAACAGAAAACTAATCATCACATTTAACAGGCAACAGGGCTTTTTTGCAGGCAAGTTTTTGTTTGGATTTTTTATATTTTTAGCCTGAAACTTCAGAAATTCATCAGTTCACGTGAAACTAGTGCAGTGCAGCAATAAAGAAGCTGGGTGCCCTAAAAAAAGAGCTTAGTCATGTTACTTTGTTCAGGCAGGTTTTCTAAAGGATTAGCTCAACATCTTTCCAAGCAAAACCTGTTTATTCATGTTCCTGCCAAGTGCTACGTTCTCATGTCTGTACAATAAGAATTAAGCTATAGCAAGTATTTTATCAAAAAGACTTTACACACCTTATACAAACTTATTCTATACATATGATATAGTCAGTATATAAATGGCTATCTGTGTACAGCTCCTAAGCTATGCTAACATCCTGATGGCTTTAGTTTCATACTCACTTTGTTACCTAGTATATTGATCTTGTCCCTGAACACTTAAAAAGAACGCAAATATATGTAAAGAGCAGAATGAGTGAGTATGTACACAATAAGGACAAAAGTATAGACCTGAAGCAATGGGGCTAAGATTCAAAGATCAAGAGGTTTGACCCAATACTTTCACCCATATACAGTAGTGTGCATTGATAAAATACATACACTTTTGTAGAAAGGACATTTCTGAGAATTTCTCTCCACTGTCTTTGTCCATGTGGGTAAACGCAACATATGAAGAGGGCTAAAGGCTTGTTTACGCTATCCTTTCCAACAATTACCTTCTGTTTTCACTCAGCTTTTGACAGTTTGCATGGAAAACAACATTTTAAAACCAATGTTCCATGTCAGCCTCTTTTCAAAAAAAGTCAAACAAAAAAATTAAAAGAGGCTCTCTGACAGCATTTGAAGTTGGCCAATCTGGCATTTGAGTGACTCTTTTATTCAGAGAATAACAACAACAACTGTGAAACATCTATGTGAGCAGAACGCCTGGTACACATGGTCAATCCCCCACAGCTGTGAAAACACTCAGTGAGGCGCCCCGATTCTGCGTACGGCTTTTCTTAATCAGTTATTGATACCACTCCTCAGCTTCTTTAAATACAGGGGCACAAACCCTCTGGCATATCCCATCCAATCATACATTATCTGTAAATATTTGTCTAATCCTTTTTTCCCTTTTTGGTTTGTTTAATTGCACAGTGAGAGTTAATTAAGATGATTTTCAACAGAAGCTTATGCAAATGCTAACATCTCAGGGAAAGAAAAAATACCCAGAAACATGTTGGCCCTTAGAGTCATTATTAAATCAGAGCTTTTAACTACACAAGGCATCACAAATAGACTGCAAATGGTGTTAGTGTAGTGCATGCATGTATCTTGGAAACAAGGTTCAAGAATATGTCATGTTTATTCATGAGTACAAAGGAGTACACGTTGTGTATTACAGGTTAACAGATTTCTGAAGGCTAAAATAACACTTGTTTTTCTACTGAAACTGCTTATAGGTGCCATGTGCAAAGACAAAACAAGAGCTTTCATTATAAACTGGTACATGCCTCAAATAATGTGGCGTACAGATAAATGATTACTTGACGATGAGGCAAAAACATGGCGAAGGGAAGAATAATATCAAACATTTTTAGATGGGCTTTCCTTACAGGCATTTCCGCCATTATAATCTTTCTGCTTGAATGGAATGATGAGATTCACTCAGTACATCGGGCTTATAAATACCAGTGAATGAAACCGAATATGGCCAGGTGGGATTCACAAGAACAATCATGTTGAAACTGGTCAGATGGTTAAACACATCGTTCTGACGATGCTGGAAAAGGGCTGAATTTTGAAACCAACAGTCTAACAAGCACTTCACGCGAGCTACAGTATGTGAAGGTGAAAAGGCAGCCATCTGTCCTTCTGCCTTCCAGGAGGGTTTCAGTTCAGTAGTTTCAGTTCTGAAACAGCAAACCTTCGGTTGTGGTTGGACAACTTGAACCCATTTTGAGTTCTAAATTTATTTCTTTGCAACTTTTTTTTTTCTTTTGACATTTGACACTGAAGGCAGGAAACAACGCAAGTCAGCGAGGAGGCTGATATGTGACAAAGTGAAGTGGCTGTCTCGCTCAGAGATGAATTACAACAACAGCAACAGTGAACATTTGAGCATTTGGTACATGTGGTCAATTCCCCACGCAGCTGTGAAAGCACTTACTAAGGTGCCTTGATTCGAAGTAGAGTGTTACTATACCAGGTATTAATACTAACTCCAAGCTGCTTTAACCTCCTAGGACCTGGTGTCCACATATGTGGACATCACATTTTGTGTTATTTAGACCAAAATACTCAGTTTTGCTCTACAAGGGCCTGATATCCACTTACGAGGACATTATACTGCTACTGTTCTATCAAAATTTTAAACGAATATCCTCATATGTGGCTCTTATTTTTCTTAAAAACAAAAATAAGTTTTAAAAAAAAATCTGGTAATTCTTTGTTTTTACATTCATCGGGCCCCAATGTGACCAAATATCAAAGAGAAATTAAAAATGCATGCCGTGGAAGAGTTTGGGTCTTAGGAGGTTAAATTTACTTACACAAGCCCTCTGGCACATCATCTGCAAATATTTTTCTAATCCTATTTTTGGGTTTGTTGAATCAGACCTAATCACTGCAAAACAAGTATGCATGCGTGGACAAATGTAATTTGTTTAGACATGTCAACACTCACTGAAAACTGCTTGCGTTTTCTTCCAGGCTTGCTACTTTTAGGTGACTTCTCCTCCATCAGGTCCGAGTCCAGTATTGTTCTCTCACCCTATCAAGAAAAAATGCATGCCACAATTTAGACAAAGTACCTGCAGCTGCTTGGGTAAAGATGCACGTAACACTGAATGATTTAATTAGTGCATTTTTGTGTACAATCAGCTAGATGGCAGTTTCACCTCCACCAAAGATGCAGCACAAGTGATACTAGATCTATAGGAAACAGAGACAACTGCACTACAGTGAAACACTTGAACATTTGGGAGGGCTGGAGCAGGTCCTCCAGTGTCTTTGGTTGAGTGGACAATGAGACAGATAGAAACTGAATGACACATTCCTTTGAAGTAGGCTGAAATGAAAGCTCCTCGGACGCAGTGCTGACCTTCCACAGACAATTCCCTCTTGACACCGTTACAAAGACATAGATCGGCCCCCACCTTCCCCTGCTGCAATTTCCCTTTGATTAATAAAACTGTCTAGCCCCAGGAACAAAGCCCCATGTCTGCCATCACCAAGTACCCCTGGGGTTGACGGGAGAAAAGATGATCCTAATGTAGATGCTTTGAGTTTCAATATTGACTGAATAGAACCACCAGTACCAGGTTTGAATGCAAATGAGAGTGCAACGCCATTCCTGACAGCTGCAGTGGGGGGGTGGAGGGCCGGGTCCTTATTAAATTCCTTCAGTACTGAATGTGAAATTCCATCAAAGATAAACGGGGTCTCTGCACTGTAGGCATTCTCCAACCTCTGCTGACATGTTGATAAGTGTATGTATGTCTAATCTCTAGTGAGATGGCGTAGTACAACATGATAAAATGTTACTATGAGATAGTACAAGCTTTTGTCTATATATAAGGGGTGGAGTTAAGTCTAACAAGAGGAGTTACTGAATTACGGAGGTAAAGTGGTATAAAACATTAATAACTTTAAGAAGCAGCAAACCAGAGTAAAAGCAGTCTCCAGTGCATATCCACAGTTAATTTGTCATCTTAAAGACATTTAACTAGAAATTACAACAATGAACATATGAAACTACGTCAGATTTAGTGTATTTCAATATGACACAGAATTACTGTGCTATGCAGACTATGGAAGTATCAAACTGCAATTAAAGATAAAAGCAATTATGGCATTGCTTTAACCTTGGATGTTGGATCTCATGTTCATACCTGAGCTGTCTGCGCTTCATCAAGAAGGCGATGCCATGAACACAATCCTTCAGCAATACATGGAGTGGAAGGCTGCGACGCGTTCATGGATAGAGCCTGGTGGGTTTTCTATGTATGGCTTGTTTAGGGAGTCATAAATACACAAGACATGTTGCCATTTCAATACTGTTTGTGTGCAAAGGTGGCGCTGGCATGAACTCTCCAACTTTCCAAGTGGCACGTTGACTTGAATGGGCATTCCAGCTAAAACTTAAGAGTCTGGGAACTTCCTGCTTCCGACAGAATGCAGGATAACTGTGGGACTGAAAAGCGAATCCAAGGTGGAAATGCCTTGAACCTTAATTATTTCACAATGACCAGCAGGAGGCGACTCTTGTAGTTGCAAAAAGAAGACTTGCTGTATAATCTATGAGTAAATGGGCCTACTTCTCACTCAATTTATGACCTCAGTAAACACTCTCCTACTGAGTTTAAGACCTCATTCACTCATTTCGCGTGCTGTTTAACACAGCATGACGTTCATTTTTTAAAATTATGGTTCCATTTACAGTAAATTAACAATAAAGCAGGTTATGCTTTAGGATTTGGCTCATAGTGTGGTATTTTGGGGGGGGGGGAGATGGGCGGTGGTTCAGGAGGTAGAGTGAGTCATCTATTTTTTGGAAAATTTAATCCCTGATTCCTCCAACTCGAAGCATCCTTGGGCAAGATACTGAACCCCAGGTTCCTCCCGATGTATTCTTTGGAGAGTGAGTATATGAATGCTAGGTCATAAGTGTTTAGGAATAGAAAAAAGCACTTCTATGAATGTTTGTGTAAATGGGTGAGGCTTATAGTCAGTGTTGGGGAGTAACGGAATACATGTATTGCCGTTACGTATTTAAAATACAAAATATGAGTAACTGTATTCCGTTACAGTTACCGTTTAAAAAGGAGAGTGGAAAAGTACGAGCTGTCAAAGAGCAGAAACGGGAGATGAAAGCATGTAAATATAATAATAACCACTGCAGCCAAAAAGAGTGCCTGATGAGCCCAGTTGAAAGTAAGCTATTAAGACTCGACTGTACACTGTGATCGTATTTTCCTCTAAAACAATAAGTTACGTTGGAGCAGCCTTTCAACGCCTCTCTCTGTCTCTCGCTAGCAAAGCGGACTCAGACAACAAAGTAAAGCTAGTTTTCAGCTACGAGCCCGACATGAACCCGACGTATTAGCCAGAGGTCCCTTTACTACGGTTTCGGAGCCGCGGACCTGTTCTATACACGCGCGGAATAGTTTTCTATATGAAATCGCTGCAAAAAGTGCAGCCTTACCTAATGTCCACCTACTGTTACTCATTTTATATTAAGATTTAAAAATCTAGTTGCTATTGGTATGGAGAGTATCCTTCAGTTATAGTAATAAATCACACAGCAATACTACATTCATGTAGTTGTAAAAAGCATGATAATATATTAAGTAATCCAAAGTATTCCGAATACGTTACTCTCATTGAGTAACTTAACGGAATATGTTACAAAATACATTTTGAGGCATGTACTCTGTAATCTGTAGTGGAATACATTTGAAAAGTAACCTTCCCAACACTGCTTATAGTAAATAAGAAAGCAATTTGAGTCCATATATGCTCCTGTTACATTTTTTTTTTTAAACAAGATGGCAGCAGCAAAATGAGACTAAGCAGCCCACAAATCAACAAGCTGCTTCAAAGTGCATGTGCACGTCTTTTACTTACACTGCATGACTTCATCTGGTCTTCCACCCTGGTGTTACATGAAAACATTTACCTTATAGATTATACTCTAGTGTCATAATGTATTCTGGAATTAAAGAACAGGAAATGAGGCCACAGGATCCATTCAGCATCAGATCTAATTAAATCATTTCCTTTTATCAGCACAAAGGGTTCAAAAGTCAATTAAATGTTCAAATTTAAACACTCAGGGAGTAAGGGGTTCTTGATTTGGGCAAAAAGATTACAAGCTGCTAACTGGGCCTTGGAGTTAATTATTCTTTCCACTGCTGTCTCGAAAGTCAAAAATTCACCTCATATGTTAAACCAAAATGGACGGGATTTCCTTCATTTTCTCAGAAAATTATTTAAACAGGAACAATTTCATTTTAGCCGTACAAAATGTGCCCTTTGACAATGATCTTGTCATGTGAAAAAAAAAACTTGCAGTATGCAAAGTGAGTTTTTACAGTAGCCTTAGTGTTGAGCATATTTCATGAAGTACCTGGTAGCTGTGACATTCTGGGTTTGAGTCAGTCCTACAGTAAAATCTGCAACTCATCCGATTCTGTGCTGATGAAATACTATAACTATATAATATGTTTAAAAAAATACCATAAAAGTACCACAAGGTCTACTAAATAATTTAAGGGCAAGGGGTTTTAATCATTATAGGCAGTTATTTCAACCGTCTGGCCACGTTTCGCCCTCAGTGTCTGCCATAGCCATCAATGCTCCTGGGAGATAAACTAATTTGCATAAGGAAATAGATATAATCAAGGTAAATGATACTCTGATTGATGGGCAGAGGATTAAAACTGGAAGAAATGGTTATAAAATAAGTGAAAATAATGACATTTTTGTTAGAGATAAGCATTTGAACGGTTATTTTTACACGTAGATTTGAAACCTTTTGTAAGAGAATGTGTTTTGATGATGGTTCCAGTTCATTGTGCGATCACTAATAGAGTGCCTGGTGCGTCGGTTTTTCCCTACCAGGGCGGCAGAATTTGCATAGATAATAGCACGTTTTGAGTGCAGCCTGGTGTGCAGGCTCATTTGGGAACCACTTACATGGATGACACAATTCAGTGGTGCCTGGCTATCTCTGCAAGGACAGCACAGCACAGCACACCGCTCCTCCAGTTCTCTGTTAGAGAGCTCAGGCTGAGGTCCTCCGACTGAGGACAACACGCCATTTTCACATTCAGCTTCGCCCTAATATTTTCTGAGAAAAACAACAAAAAAAGCCTGGAATATAATTTGTTCTTGCCTGGAGTGAACCCTACTACATTGTCAATATCTCTGCACTATTTCCGTCTGGGTAGCCAGTTATTTAAGGCAATGTCTGTTGCCAGGCAACAAGACTAAGGGCAGTACTGTGTAATGGGAACACAGAAGAAGAGGACAGATCCCCCCAGCAAAAGAGCTGTCGAGCCATTCCAGCTCCATCTCAACCTACACCAGCCAACGCCCACGTCACCAACCACCATTATACCAGTAAATGTCACAGAATACAGCTGCACCTCCCAACAGCCTCTTCGGTGCCGCTGCTATTGCTGCCACACAGGTGATGCTGCAGTTACACAGAGACTGAAATTACAAGTGCGTCTGCATCATGAAAGGTGACAAGGCACGTCACGTGCTGTTGGATTCTACTGTAAAAATTTGCCCATTTCTTCACTGAATAGAGGAATTCATTGCAATGAGGTCTGCTCTAGCAATTCTTTGGACTGCACAGATTAGTGAGTGTGGGTTAATGATTAACGGGAATCGTAAAATTGAGGAAGATTTGAATTGGTTTTGGCCTGTAGTGACTATAGAAATCAATCCAATCCACTTCCTTTCATTTTTAAGGCTCTATCTGTGTAACAGCACGGTCATAAAAAATACAATTCATGTACACATACTCCGTGCCAAGATCATATGAAAATACAAACAGGCAGTGCATGCTATATCACTGCAGGACGAGCTCAGGGGTGAATAATGTCTTTTTAAATCAGTGCTTCCGAAGACATTAAAAGAAGCACTTTTCAGTGATGGACGAGCAAATCCAATTCAATCTTGAGCTCAAGTCAAGTGATTCAGAAACCCTCCCGACATCTTTTTAAAATCACCAGATCATGAGTTAAGTTCCGCAACGTGTCAAGTGACGCATTTTTTGTTGTTGTCACGCACGTGTTTCTTACCATTGGATTTCCAGGTGAATCAGCAGTGGTGGTGGTGTTGGTGAGAGTGTTGGACGGCATCATTGAGAGTCTTATGAGCTTATGGGTAATGTCTGATGATGGGTAGTGTAGATATGGACTTTCACGTTAAAAGGAAGTTGAAAAGTTTAAAAGAAAATAAAGCAATGACGGATGATCCCCTCTTCTTCCTGCTCTCCTGGAAGTTAAAAGAAGAAAAGCAATGGTAAGATATGTTCAGCAAGTTTGTCTTTAATGTGTTGATTCTTTAGTTCCATGCAGACTAGATAATCCAGTGACATATTTTATGTATCTTCTCTAAAATGAAGTTGTTTTACCCCGAGCATCAGCTTTCTCTTTGCTGAGTACACGTCATGTAGCTATAGGACCCTCACAGGCTTCTATAGATACTGTATGGCCACTATATCCTACAGGCCCCTTTACACCACATGAATGTGTGTTGTGCAGTAGACGACATGAACTGGGTGCATCGTGCAGCCTGAAAATAAAGAGCGCGATGCTCCAAACTAAGCGCAAAAATACTTGTATTTTTGTGGGGACATTTTTCAAAATTCATTAATATTTCATTTCCATCGTGAGAGTCTGGGTTAAAGTTACTCCAGCGGTCTGCCTAACGCGCAAAGCGAAGCCACAGTTACACTGTTTTGCACTCGTGGAAATTTACAACAACAACAAAAAAAACAACAACCTATATTCGTACAGGATGTGTTGAATCTAAGGGCTAAAATGAGACTGATGACACTCGGTTGTGATTTATTTAAAACATGCTGTATGTAAAACACACTGCCGGATTTACGTCCACGCTCGTGGAAAATAAATGTAGGCAACAACCAGAACGTGTTAAAAAATAATTTATTATAAGGCCACACAGGCGTTCAGTGTCACCGCATTTCCATGCCATCAGCCTGCAATCAGGCCACACGCTTACACCATACTACGATCGACTGATGTGCATATATTATTCAACCGGCTATGCGTTAAAAATTGCAAAGTTTTAGACGTCTTTTTACAGCAGGGGAAGTCTGCAATATGACCCAGGGGATTGTGGATCTTTTACAGGCCACGGACACTGAAGGATAACCCCCCCGTTATTTCCTTTAATGAGGCCACAGCTTTGAGAAGCCGCGATGCTGGTTCCGTGCTCCAAAACCGGTCAAGTTCACATCTCGACGTCCAATCAGCACATCTGCAAAAAGCGAACCCTAAATCGCTATTTCCCCATTTCCATCGAGCGCCTTCCGGTCGTTCACGTTTTTTGTTCACATAAAGGTTACCCTTCCTGCGTGGTTGCTCGTGGCGGGTTAAACAAATTTACATGCGTGAGTCACTGTGTGTCATTACCCGGTTTTCCCAAGTCCCAGGCCTGACCCTTTTTGTCTCGCTTGCTCCCGGAGCCTCCTTCCTCTTCTCTCCCCGTCCTCCACCTCCCCAGCCGGCCAGCTCTCTTCCAGATGCGCCGCTCTGACTGCAGGGGCCTGAAGTGTGCCTGCTTTTCTCTGGGTCCTAGAAACAGTCATATATCGTGGACTCAAAACATTTGCAAATATCTACATTTTTGCACGATAATAGGGCTGGTATCGTCACTGATTTATATAATCGATTAGATTCCGATTCACAAGGTCCCGATTCGATTGGATTTCGATTGAAATTTTGCGTCAGATAAACAGCTTAAAAGTAATTTCTTCGTTATTAAACAGCAGAAATAAGCAATAAGCAAGAAAATTATGCAGAAAACTGAGATTTAAGATGGGAAACTATTCTTGAACTACACTGACAGAGAGAGAGAGCTGTGCAGGAAGTGTGATTTTATCCTGATGGAAGCAAAACAGCAAAAATAAGAGTAATTAATGACCATATTTATCAAATTTAAAGCGTAGTTTGATCTTCTTTTACTGCTGGTTCAGTGCATTTTGGTCGGAGAGCGACAAAACCTGCACCATCAAAATCTATGAGGTGTCGAGTCTGCGCTTTGTGTTTACGTCTTTGTGTTAATAAGAAAATCGATAATTGAAACCCAGCCCTACTCCATGTGTATCCCCCGAACATTTGGGATGCCTTCATATGTTTATTCTTGAGTATTTACCAAAGCTATTATAATTAACTAAACGAATATTTGGGGAATGCGTCTATTGAGATTTGTGTACATTGTAATGTGTGCATGACTGTGAAAATAAATGAAACTAAGCTGAATTGAATTGAAAACAAACACTCAAAGTAAATTTTTAAAAAAAAAAGCTCAATTGGAAATGCAAGTCTTTAGTAACTCTGGCCTTTACCTTATACTCTAACATGAGACAGGTAAAGGGGAATCCTGTATAACAAAGATAATTCAGGCTGGGACTCATGCTACCACACTGTGTGCACTGAAGACCACAAGGCTGCAGGGATGCCTCTATAACTTTATTTACAGGTCTACGCATTATTGCACAATTGGAACAATACTATGCTTAGTTTCTAAACTGATTTTACACCAGAGACATTTTAATGGTCCAGATGTCCCCTAAGTGCTGCTCTGGTTGGCCCCAGTGATGTGACCTTAGGGTAAAAATAAGCAGTAAACCAAACCACATTTTTACCACTGCCCCTTAGAGAGTCTCTGCGTGCCTGTGCCAAATGACAATATGCACTTGCAGTCATAACCAGTCCTGAGCTGTTTTGTCCTTTATGTGTGTGTGTAGTCCCCATCTCCTTTTCTGCTCATTGCATATTCAAAAGATTGTCCAAATCTCACATATTAAAAAAAACCTGATGAACCTGATCATTTAAAGCTATCACCAGCAGCTGTTGAAATGCCGTGCACGTAAAAGTGACACACTGACGAAATATGCAAGATAAGTTCTTAAATGTATCAAAATACACAAATACTAAGTTGAGAAAAATGAAACAACCAAGCATGCAACAAGTTTCCTGTTTGAAAATGATTGTTGCATTTTTAGTATTGGCACTGAAACACACAAAGGCTTGAACTTGTTCAAATGTAGTGTGTAATACAAGTAATACATGTGTAATACAAAATAATGACAAAACACACACACACAGGAACCTGGAGAGACTTCCTAGTTTTTATTTTGTTTCTTTTATGGGCCCCCTGGTGGCTGTGGGGCCCCAAGCAGCCATGTAATTAGCTGTTGCCTGAAGCCAGCTTTGGGGTCTGGTGAAGTAACACTTGTGTCATCTATACCTATTTTAATTAAACTGCAATGTGTGTTTTACTTCTTGACGCTGGTGTAGACTTTTTCTTTTAATGCCCCACTTTTTTTTCTTTTTTTTTTTACATATTTATGGATTGTAACATTCCCTGCACAGTCTGTTCATCCCTGTTCAGACCCTTCAAATGACTCGTAAACGTGCCTTTGTTAGATTTAGACATTTATGATTCCTTTTTCATTCTTTTTTTTTTATCCTAGATTTCTTATTCTGTACGCTAATTGGTACCTGCGATGCTTTGTCTCTGGTATCTAATAAGGGATGGGAGGACAACAGTAGCCTTCAATCCTTTCTCGGTCAAATCAACAGTTTTAGAGAAGCAGACAGTTCAACTGGCGAAACGCAGTTGGGACTAATAAAATGTTCAAAGTTTCACTGTGATGCCTGTAAGCGCTGGAGTGGAGGCTGTGACAAATCAAAAGTAATTTCTGTGAAAACACTTTGGTACGTTTCCTGTAAAAGAAAGTTTACTTACACAAAGACAATTTAAAGTCATTTACATTATGCATTAATACATAATAATAATAATAAGGCTTTTAAATGCAAATTACAAGAACAGAACATCAAACAAAAGGAAATAAAAACAAGTTTAGAGATGTAAGAGTAGGATAATTCATGACGAGCTTTTAAGGCTCAGCTGAAGGCAATACACAATATTAAAGGTATTAACATTTAGTATCTGAGATCTTTGCTCGGTTTTACTCAGTAACTTCTAAGTCCTTGTTTAATTTGCCCCCTGGGAACAGTTAGTATCCTTTATATCGCATTAAAGAGTCACATTAGTAGGATTTATTAAGATGGCAAAGCAACACATTAAAAAAGAAGCTGGACAAAGGTATGAGTTTAAAAAAAAACAGTGCAAAGGTCTAAGATTCACTTTATTTCAAATGTATCTTAAATTAAACGTCCAAAAATGCATGCAGTATATCAAAATGTTTGGGACTATAGTCCATATAGAATTCTTCATCTTGCACCATGTCTGTGGTTTTATCATTTTCATTTTATTACTCACTATTGCAAACAACCATCTATACCCGTACATGCTACTAGACGCAGTCGCCCAATGCCAGATTCCAGGAAGGCTAAATGTTCACCGAACAAATCCCTTTGGGGCAGCTTGAAGGCTTTTCATGGGCAATGAGGAAGAGAGGACATGTGTGCGTAGCAGGCAGATGTGGTTCACTGATGTGGAAGTAGCAATGGCTCCTCTTTCTCATAGTGTCATTGGGACTGAGTGGTTCATCTGAGGATAGCAGCAGCAAGACGATGGCACATGACCTACAGACATAAGCAGCGTGCTGCTGGCTGGTGGACACCCTTTGTCTATTCGTGGAAACCCCAAGAGGAGGATACTGAGAGGTCATAGTGTCCTGACCTCATGTCAGCTTCATAGCTTTTGATATGATCTACGCCTGAAGTATTGGGAAAAAGGCCACACTCTTTTTGATATAGAGTTTGGTGGGCTTCAGTTTTTGCTCGGTTATTCTGTTTCTCTGCTTCTTGTTTAAAAGAAGATGCTGAAAAGGTGGTCGCACACAAAAGATTAAAATCAAGGGTACTCACACTTTCTTGTGTCTGCAACTTGGAAATACTTGTGTAAGGTTGGCGAAACAAGCAGTAACTGAGATGTAAAGAAAATAGCCTGTTAAACAAGTAAAATATGGATGGATATTACACTGTAGACTTACCTATATTAACAAAGGATGAAACACTCATAAGACAGCAAGTGATGATTTGTCCTTAGATACACATTGGAGTAAACGGTTTTTTTAATCTACTCTACATGAATGAAGTGCATATTAAATAAAAGGGATGTGACCAACATTACTTGCAAAGTTTATCTATTTCCTTGAACTCTATACTTCCTGTATTAAGTGAAATACATGTTAAAATAGCATAACAGCATGTGTCTTCACCACTAATGCATTGAAATAAAGGAAGTAATACTTTAAATGTGTAAGAATGACCTCATTTACAAGTGTGAACATCAAACTAGACAAAAAAAGTGATCACAGAAACCCAACTCAACATTTGCACTGCAACAAACTTGCAAGTACATTTCAGGATTCAAAAGCAGTTATCTTAATGTTTCTATGCTACAATGAAACCTAAGACTTTTACTGCCCCTATTCTTTTAATTGGTATAATTAATGCTGGAGAACGTAGTCTAATTAAAAATAATAATACTGCTATGTACAATTCAGCAATGAAACACTAACTAAAATTAGTGAATGAGATTTTTGTAAGAACATTCACTATAAATTAATAGTGATGAGAGTTGCTATGAATGATGCTTCCATTATGTGTGAATTGTAGCCTCAGTTTCCTGTTCTTAGCTGACATGAGTGGCACCCAGTGTGGTTTTCTGCTGCTGTAACCCATCTGCTTCTAGGTAAGACATGCTGTATGCAAATTTCTGCATACCTCAGTTGCAACGAGTGGTTACTTGAGCTATTGTTGCTTTACTGTCACCTCAAAGCAGTCTGACCATTCTCCTCTGACCTCTGGCATCAACAAGGCATTTTCTCCCAGAAAACTGCCACTCACTGGATATTTTCCCTTTTCCTGACCATTCTCTGTAAACCCTAGAGATGGTTGTGTGAGAAAAAGACGACAGGCCAGCAGTTTCTGAAATACTCAAACCAGCCTGGCAACAACAACCAAGTCACCTAAATCGCTTCAGTTTGAACTTCAGCACGTCATCTTGACTATGTCTACATGCATAAATGCATTAAGTTGCTGCCGTGTGCTTGGCTCATTAGAGATGCATGTTAATGAGCATTTGCCAGTGAGTACATGTTACTTGCCACCAATGATAGCCGATGTATGCATCGAGTGATGATAAATAAAAAAACGTGACCAGCCGCAGCCATATTTTAAATCTTTTTAATATATCTCACATTTGATTTATTTACAAAAGACAGTGGCTTTGTGACATAAAACTCTGTTTTGTAAAATCAACATGAGAAACAATGGGTACCAGAAGCATAACCATACAGAACACATACATAGATAAATAACATCAGGGGAGCGTTGTCGCCGAGGTTGTCCTCGTTACACATTGTCTCTCTGCAAACATTAAAAGGATCACGATGTATGCACCTCTGTGTGACCAGCTATGTTATAATTGTATTACCCCGAGTTTGGTCTGACAGGGTATGTACATACAGTATTGCCTCTGCGTTGGTTAAAATGACATCAGTGACTCTCTATCAGTAGATCTGGAATGTGTGTGTGGTTTTTTAAATGATCTTTTTTTCTGAAATATTTAATATGAGTTTGTTTGGGGATTTTTTTTCCCCAGCAGATGAAATCATTAAATACGAACATCTTCAGGCATTCTGTGAATAAACTATGAACAACAACGTACTAATGCAGATATACTTTGATATACACCTGGAATTTGACACACAATGTCTGCAAACAGTTTGGCACAAATGTAAAGGCTGAGCATGAGTAAGTTTCCCCCAGAACATAATAAATAAATAAAATCAAAAGCTAAAACAGACATAAAGGCTGACAGTATTTGCTGAATGGTTACTTTGTACAGCACTCTACAGAACAGCTACAGGCACGGACTGAAAGAACAAACGGAAAGCTCAATTTTGCACCGGAATGCATGGTTGAAATGACGGGGAAGACAGGAACTCGCTAAATTTTTACCTGTGCAGTTTTGTAATTTTGGGACCTTTGACGCCGGATGAACTTTTTGACAGCAGGGGTCCCAGAATTGTACTTTACGGCACCTGCTATATATTATATTTGGGCAATTATACAAGTGAATCCTTATTCCAACAAAATCATTACAATAACGATACTCCACTAATATTGTAAACCATAATAACAGTAATGAGAACGCAGAGCAGAAAAGAGAACTTAATGAAAAATGTCACATTAAGAACAACAATAACAGAGGAGTGTCTTTTTGTTGTTTTTCTTGACACAGTGTAACAGGTTGTTCAAACCCTATACTTAGCTTATAGCACAGGCTTAATTTACAAATCTCAAAGCAGAAAAAAAAAAAGGTAAATAAATAGATCACACTTTTTGTAGTTTAACTGAGGCAGACTTTACCCTGTGCTTCTTTCTGGGACTGAACACATCCCTCTTAAACTGCTCACCAATGTTTACCAATCAAGCATTTACTTAAAAACCCGACGTTGCCTGTTTTCATATGAGATGAAAGGCTACTCTGAAGGACAAAACAGTGAGCTAGACAAAAATGTAAAATTAACTGAGACTCACTCTACTAGTGACGTAGGATAAACTTCCTTTCATGTTAACAGCTGCCTCCTTAACAGGCGAATCACTCTGCTTTTCCACAAAAAGTACAAATTCACACACAGACAAACTATATTCAACAACATGCTTCACTGAAATCTCCTTTTCTTCGAATCCAATAAATAAAACAAACTTGACTTGGTAGAATGTGAAACTATTTTGGGAAACTTCAACAAAACCAGTGACCACAACTGCACTATTCTGCAGTTAAATCCTCCATAATCAATTAACATTGATCTTAGTTTGTGGCAAAAGATTTCTTCATGTTACCATCACATTTCACCTAAATTACCTCTGCAGTCCCTGAGCACCTACCTTCATTGCACATACACATTGTCAATATTCTCGAAATAACAAAATAAAGCTATTAAAACATTATCTACTTGCTCACTAAAACCTTAAATCCTCAAATTTTATAACTCAAAACTAAAAGTCAGTGCCTAATTCATTACTATTTAACATCCTGAGGTGCTTCTCTATACTTTAAACCAGTGTTTCCCAACCCTTTGGAGCCACGGCACATATTCCCCATTAGAAAAATCACACGACACACCACCAAACAAAAATGTCACAAAAAGCATATTGATCATTTTCCCCGGCACCAGCCATAGCGGAATTGGTTTGGTTTGTCCCCAGTATACCTTTTTTGCTTTCTTCTGACCACTACTCATGCTAGGGCAACCCATTTAATTAGAGCAGCCAGTTATACTGCCCTCTAGTGGAACAGAATATAATACAGTAGTTCTGCCAGTCGCTGAGTACTAATCAGGTGGAAACAGATAACGGCACACCTGATCATTTCTTACGGCACACCTATGTGCCGTGGCACAGTGGCTGGGAAACACTTCTTTAAACAATAAATACTGAGGCTACCAGCTAGTCAGTGTCATTTGCAAGGAGGCACCATGCTGTGCTGAGCAGTACAATGCCCTTCAGGTGGTTCAGTTTTCACTGGGAGGAAACAAGGCTTGGCTCATTATTGTGTATAGAGCAGCCCCTCGGTTTGTAAGCGCACAGCCCTCTTTATTTGCAAGGGTTTGCTCACTGAGAGCACATTAGCAGCAGAATAGTATAGACTCATCGAGTGTGTTTACATGCTCCTGATATTCTGGAAACAACAGTGGTAAAAGTTCCATGCTATTCCTTATTCATTCCAAGATTTTTTTAAACGATTAAAGGAAAAATTCAGCCTTGTGGAAACTACACCTGCTTGCTTTCTTGCCAAAAGGAGAAAATCAAAATCAGTGTCAGATGTGTACTCTGGTCTGGAAGGTAAATGCAGGACAATAGCAATCCTTGCAATCACTGTGGTTGCTGAAAGGTTGCCATGGTCACCAGCAGTTTGCATGAAAGACTTGTCTGCAAACATTTGCAAACTACTCACCAAGCTGTAGCGAAACTGTTTATAGTAAAACAGAAACCAGAAATGGAGAACTTATGCCGTCAAAGTAAAAGTTGTGCCTTTTGAAATGTGTTAGTTGCAGACGATAAGGAAACTTTGATATTTTTTTTTTCTCACACTTTTCACAGCATCACTGTTGCTTGCAGACAAATTACCATCTCCATTGCAAACTACAGGTAGCCATATAAAGGTTTTTTATGCATCACCTTATGTGCAACTAGTTTCAACTAGCAACCAGGGGCTCGTTGACTGGTTTCCTGTGACCTGTGTGAGTCAGGCTTAAGCCAGTATTCTTGGCTAGAAGCGGGTGCTCAACAGCTAACTTGGTTTTGCTTGCTTTTAAATATTCGTTGAAAGAAAAATAGAAAAAACAACCAAATCTAGTGATTTTATTTTATTTTTCCCAGCTAAGTTAGCTAGTATTTTGTTTTTGTGATTCTTGATTGCCAGGCCAATGGCTTCTGACAGACCAGCTAACCCTCCTCCGGCTTTTATACTAGATTAATCTAATTTTGTCCCAGCTTAATCCTTTCATAGCACTACGAGAAAGGAAATGAAATATTCCTTAATATGAAGCTTTTCTCCAGGCTGTGACCAGAGCATAGAGCGTCTTTGCTATTGGAGACTAGAGTGGCAGAATACAGATGTGCAGGTAAACACACTCAGCATGAATTCTGAGGCAGGACACTTCTGACACTCCAGCTGTCATCATAAACCCACAAAGAGCTGGCATAGTGTGGTACAGTACCTTTATCAAGACACGAGTGCAACGTCATGCAAAAAATATCAAAACAGAAAAAAAAGAAATGCTAGTGCTAATCATACAAAAAGCAATGACAGGGAACATGTGGTGACAGCAGGTCGCCTTCATGTCGGGGCATTCCCAAGGTCATGTGTGTACAGAATCTTATATACAGATGATCTGCTGCGGTGGAACAGTTGGGAGAGAAAGCACAGCAAGCCATTCCTTAGCAGTCATGAGGGAAATCATTGGGTAATTACAGCAGTTTTTGTTTACAGGACAACATACATACTTGCTAATTATACACATCTTGCTACCAGCAAGGTGCGAAGAAACTTTTTTTTTTCACATAGTGAAATCCTGTTAGATTACAGCATGCATTACTCTACGTGCTAATGCCAGGGGGGTTCTTGTTGTTATTGTTGCTGATTCTTCCCAGTTAATGACTGTATGTCCTTACAGGATGGGATGGTGTTCTCTTTCCCTCAGTGCTTCTGTAATCTCACTGTGCCTGGATACAAAAACAGAAGAGCTTGTTGACAGCCCGAAGAGTCTAGATGAATTAGTTGTTGTTTTTTTAAAAAAAAGAAAAAAAAGAATGTGGCAATACGCCACAGTGCATCGCTGCTTTTGGATGAAGTGTGACAGAAGGAGCCCAGTTCGAAGAGCCAAACAAGTATATTTTTCTTGGCTGATATAGGTGCCATGCAAATATTTAGTCGGAGCCAATCATTCAAATCCAACAAATGAAGAAACAACACAGTCATTGTCATCAAAAGCTGCTGTTTCTGCAGTAATTTTATATTATCCTGTCAAATTTTGATTGATTTTATGTTGCAACAGAAAAGAAACCAAATATTGCATATTTTGATCCTGGCCAATCGTTATAATTACTATTACCAGACTTACCTCTGTCTCCACCATTCCTCATGTTGGTCTCCTCATCCTCTGCGGCATCGTCCACTTTAAAAAACAAGAACTACATGTTAGTGACAGCAGTTCCTTATTTAAATACTTGGGCACAAAAGGCTAAAATATAGCAGAAAGAACACAGAAGTGCCTTTTTTAAGATAAGAAAAAAGGACTGAAGGCGAAGAGGAAGAAAAAAAAAGCTAAAAACCTATTTTGTCTCGACTAACCTGAGTGAAGCTCTTTCACCAGTGACGACATGGTGTTTGTGATTGAGTCAGCAGCAACTAAAAGATCATTCCGAAGATTTCTAGGCACACCTGAGGAACAGAGAACGGAGAAGATGTCAAATGACAAGTCTTGGAGTGTAACTTTGCGTAAGTATAATCTGCTTCAAATCCTCTTTGTTTTACTGGTTTCAGACGAACCCTGAGCAAAGGCCTCCAGCACATCCCCTCCCACACCTGCCAGGCAGTCCTGTGGTGTGTGAGTTGGGGTGGACCCAGCCGAGGTGGAACGTATGGGCATAGGCATTGAGCAGCCCGCACCGTGGCTGGGAGAAGAGTGAGGGGAGCCTCCAGACTGTGACTGCAATGGATAAAACCATTTATGATAGTTACGGTAATCATCAGCACATTACCTAACCTCCAAACGTAGGAACCACATGCTGAAAGTTCACATGCAAGAGGGTAGAGCACAACTTCCAGGGAGCACTCTAAAAATAGTAGCAAAGTTGAAATTGGAGAGGTATACAACCAGATAAGCTTAAAGAAGAGACTGGCTACATTTACATCAGGACTGATTTCTGATATTTATGTGTTTGACCCTGGCAGGTACAAAGACACTAGCTGACCGGTGTCATCTTCTTCCAGAAGCATAATAAGCGAAAAACATGGAATCTATCCTTGCTAACCTTTAGTGATTCTACAGAAAGAAGATAAAAAAAACAAAGAAACCTAAATATCAGCCTAACATCAACTAATCAAATTCTCAAACAACCAGTTTAAATAGATGATGCTCTATTGGGATCACAGATTGCAGCTTTAGGAAACCTTTTTGCTTCTAAAGGTGACTTCTAATGAAATAAATCTTGACACAGATGTGACCAAAAGAACTTAATCCTTACTGGGAGAACAAACAAACAAACAAACAAACAAACAAAATATTGGCTAAAAGCCACAACCCCCCCCCCCCCCAAAAAAAAAAGACTTGTGGTAAAGCTATACTGATTGGCTTTACCTTGTCTGTCTATAGTACACCTTTACTGCATTCACAGGGTTAATGAGAACCATGCGTAGGTGTGCATGTGGGGCTTGTGCTGAGTTGGGAGCTATATCTCATAGAGAAAGGATCAGTGTGTGTCTCTGGGACTGTTGCAGGCCTGGGTTGATGGCTCCGTGCCAGGCAGCAGATGGCCAGCCAGACTGCAGTCATATTAGAAGTGAGTTTGTTAGCGCCAATGAAAGGAACAGGTCCCTGACATTTGGACCAAGAAAAACACAGTTCTCTCAACTCGCCTGGGTTAGAAAACAAATTTTAAAGATTGTGCCTCTACCGCACTGGCATGAAGCTAACAAGGAAGTGGTGGAGCAGAATCAAGTTTGACAACTAGATCAGTGTAATCATGTTAGGTAGTGGAATCCTATCATCTTTCTTAACAGTCGTCTTAAAACCTATTATAAACGCTTCCTTCAATCACATCTGTGTGGAGAGGGGAGCAGTGGACTAAGTGATGTGACTAGAGCAGGTATTGAGCCTTGCAAACTGAATTAAGGGCAACTTACAGCCTGCTTCTGCTCCTCATCCTATCAGCCAGCAAAGGTAAGCAGAGAGTGAGAGAGCAAGGAGAGTGAGAGCAACAGAATTAAAGCAATAAAAAAAGAGGAAAGGGGTTTCTGCATGCACCACATGGCACGTTTACATAAGATTACTGCTGTCTTGGTTTTGAAGACTTAAGGAAATTTTCAATTCATCAAATAAAGCCTAATTATGTAAGGTAGAATATCATTGATAAAACCTGTGAAATATAAAAGAATAACAGCAGATTTAGGACAGTTAATATCTGTTCTGTTCTGGGTTATTATATATCCCTACTTGAAGATAAATCTTCTCCAAGCAGGTGAAAGTTTTACCTTTAGCAGCCTCATGAGACCCTCCAGCTGCACCATCAACTCCCGCCTGCTCTCTTGCAAGGCTGACATGCGCCTCTCCAGCTCATCCTTCCTGTGTCTGCCGAGGAAGGAGGAAAACAAAAGATTTATGCATTCCTGTTTTATTTGTAAGGCATAATCTTACACCAGTGCTTTGCTTTAAACTCCAAACAGACAACAAAAGATTCCTGGAAAATATTCTGTAAAGAAGGCGGTGTCATCTGAAACTGAAAGCATTTCAGATGAAGTCTATTTCAGAGACTTCATCAAAGTCTATTAGCAAATTATTTCATACACTTATTCACTTCCTGAAGAGCAGCTAAGTGAGGGGATTATTTTTGTGTCTGGGAGACAGACTTGCCTTTAGGTCCAATAATCCCCGGATCAATTAGAGCCACTCCAGTAAGCAGTCTCTAATATATATAGAGTCCCACGGCATTTGCATCAAGTATGTGCACCATAACCGGCATTATTAGGTAATATGTTTTCTCGATATTGAAAAAATGACATCAATGTCACACCTTAAACCAAGTGTGTCAACCTACAGCCATTAAGGTCAAATCCAGCCATTAACCCTCACCCTGACACTAACACTATGCTATCAGAATATGTGTTCTTTCACGTTTTGGCATTCAGGAAACAAAGACTCCTGGATGCCAAATAACAAGGCTCTAGTGTGTTTTTCTGTTCTTGCTATGATTAAGCCCCAGTGTTCCCTTTTATTCTTCATGAGCTCTTTGTTGTTCAGAGGTCTGTTTTAGGATAAAGTTTTGATTTGCTGCTTTTCATAAAGTACATGCACAAAAAATGGTCTAAAATAATTCTTTTATATATAAAAACATGACTCTGTGACTGCTTGTGGCCTCTTTTCAATTCAGCTTCTGGCTCTTTATCACCCCCTGGTGTCCATACTATGTAACTGTATATTGAAAAAAAAAATTAAAGCACAGTAGCAATCATTTGTATGGCTAAAGTTGTCCTATAAGAAACGTACAAACATTTGCAGATTGTAAGCAGCAGTTATCTGTTCTTCATCCTGTGGCTGTATAAATGCAATAGGACATCTGTTCAGTCCAAATACAGCTCCACACAGAACACTGTGCTGTTAAATATTTACCATTTGATGATGTCTGCCCTAAAGCAAACATACTAAGAGAGCGTATTAATATATGAAAACCTGTTTACTAGTAAGAAACAATGTGGTTACGTGACATAAGACAGAAATTACCTAATAATTACCATATTATGAAAATATTATCAACACTAATATGCCAAAAAGAGTCCACGTGGGGAGTAAAACTGGAAAAAAAAACAAAACCATGATACAAATGGATGAATGACTAAAGATTAATTTCGAAGCTAAACAGTTAAGCTATAAAACATTAAAAGATGATGTGATTTGAACCTTTGGCACAACTGTTGACTTGCAATGTTGCCTCTGATGCATTATTTAGGCCAGTTGACACAATCAAGGAGTCGTTCAAGGTAAAAAGTGCTGTAACATGTCCTCACAGGGTGACTCTCTCCCAGCAACAGAACCCAAGGGTCTCAGTGTCCTGCCAGCAAGACAAATGTCCATGCTGTTGTGGAAGCAAATGCTCCCTAATTAGGCACACATTAATTTTACGTAAAGAATGAGTTCAGTCCAAAAAGGTACAACCGCCCTGAGGTTTTGTTTGTTTTTATTTCTTTATCTTTTTGACCCCTTAATGATGATGTTATATGTGATGTATCGTGTCGGCAGGTTGATACCTGAGGAGTCGTAGTTCGGTCAGGAGTGTGGGGTTCTGCTGGGCTTTTTCTGGTGTCGGCTGAGAGGCCTGTTCATGCTCCAAACGCAGCCTCTGGATTTCCTGCAGGATCTCTCTGAATATAGCAGACAGCAGAGACGAAACGTGAGCTTTATTACTCATGCTGTGTTGTCACATGTTTAAAAATACCTTCAAACTTGCATTTGAAATGATTTAAAATGTGAAAGGAAAAGCACATATTGCTCACATACTGTACTCAGATGAGTCAAAGGACAAAGATTTAATAATGGGTTTACTGCTGATGCATTCACATGCAAGCAGCATTTTAATATTACAGATGGCTGAGAAACTTTCAAAGGAACAGCTTGATTAGCCACGCTGTGCACCGTTGTAATATTTTTAGCACACATATATAATCATCATCTCAACTAAAGGCTGTAACAGAAAGCAAATGAGTGCAACAAAATCATGCATCACTGCTTTACCACCAACAAGCCAAAAAATCAAATCAAAACCTGTCACACATGTATGACAATGGTCGCATGATAAGCTGTACCTGTTTTTGTTCTCCAGCTCTGCAATCAGCTGCCTCTGCTGCTTATTGGCATCAAAGTTGAAACTGAGATCTGTTGGAGGACATTGTTGCTGAAAAACAAAATTATCATAAAACAGTATTAAAAACACTGTGGGGAGAACAAAAGTTAAATACAAACAGATATCGCGTCTGACCACAGCGAGCAGTAATGATGCTCCGCTGGAGACTTATTATGTTTCAGCATAAACAGGAACCACAGCGTCGCTTTATCCCTTCCATATATAACAAACAGTGACAAAGAAATCTACTGCTGCTGCTTCACAACAAAAGAGTTCAGCTGGCGAAACCAGCGGGGCGCTTTTTATTTTGAAGCATGTATGTGTCACCCTCGTTACCATTTTTCTTCACCAAAATGTGCCTTCAAAACATATTTTTTTCCATTTCTTGGAGAGGTTTAGGTTTAAATTTCTAAAAGGTAGCAATGGAATATGAAAGAGTTAAGAAGGAGAGAGTTGTACTCTTCCAGCTCACGACTAGTGGAGCATAAAATCAGAAAGCAGTTTTTATTAAGAGAACCTGATTTTGTTTGGCTGCAGAGTAAACAGACCCAGCAGTTGGTGTATTTGTGATAAGGAATCTGGCTTGAGGAGTATTTGTTGCATATTTGAGCCACACTTTGCCGTTAACATGTTACCAGCATAGAAAGGACTAGAACTTTTAATCAGATGACATGTGCTCCTTACTTCACTGTATTTCTAGAAAAGTCATCAACGTAAGGGCTACGTTTCCCATTGCTTAGAGATTTTAATGCCCTGAACATGTTCAACTCCCAGCTTGGCTGACCTTCAACTTGAGTCATTTCCCTGCTCACTGCCCCACGTGCCCTGCCTATTTCTCTACAGCGCTCTGCCAAAAAGTAAAAATTCCTTAAATCTTTCTAAAACAAATACAAGTCATGGAAAATAAAAGCTCACATTTCAGTTTCAAAATCCAAGTTCCCTGTGCTGATGAAGAAAACCTGACAAAAACTTCAAAGCATCAAATCTGAAATGCAGGGTGACTGATGCCCACCATGGGGTCTCATACTCACTGTGGAGTTGCCCGCCTCAGCTGCCAGGCGGGCAGCGTATCGAGCGATGAGGCGGTGCTCTTCATCTAGCCGGCTGGGACTCTCCAAGACACTGCCCAAAGTCAAAGATAGAAAGACACATCATGCACGCGTGCACACATGCACACAAGCATAGACAGCAACAGTGACTCAAATGTCAAAAGCGCTTATGTAAGTAGAAAGGAACAAAAAAAATTGCATGGCGCAAGTGATTATATAAAATAATTTGCATGAAAACAAAACTTCATAATTAAGGCGACCTTAACAAAGGACAATTGGCTTTGACTGCAGTGTTGATAGACAGTCTGAGGTACAGTAATTGGTCATAACAATGAACTGTGATGGATAAGAGAGAATGCAGCATGCCAAATGCATTTGTGACTGTGCCAATGCCCATTCTGGCCATTTCATCACTGACTGGAAATGTCAAATAAGGCGCAAGACTTTAAATGACCATGGGTGTGGCATATGGTGCGGACAGACGACAGGACATATGCTGTTCTTTCTCGGCAGGCGGTCTGCAGTGAAGAGTGAAGGACAGCTGATATGGAGTTGGGCGCTATCTGAGAGTAAGTGATGATTAAGACCATTAAACCCAATCTGGCTTCAAACCCGCTGCATCAGCAACCACACGGCCTCAAAAGGACTGATAATCAGCCTCTTAATTAACATTTGTATTTGAATCTTATCTATACACATAAATCTGCTAGTGTACTGAGATCATTTCAGCTATTTTTTTCAATGTTTTTTTCCCATAATTTCACTGATTACATCATTAAATAGTCACTGTACGATTTGACATATTTTTAGATACTATCACCTGACTGGAGGAGATTAAACTTGGTCCACTAGAGGAGAAATCACTCAACCAACATGTCATAGCAGTCGTTTTGAGCCAGATCTCTGAAAATGTCTCGTTAAGTGGGGCACTTTCTAAATAATTTACCTTCTCGTCCTCAGGCCAAAGCACAGGCAGAGTCTGAGGTTTCTTGTAGAATTAAAGTAAGGCATTAACATACGTCAGGGAGCCGTTTGGGTTGAATCTTCAGGCTGGAAGCAGCTCCAGTGTTTTGTTCTTCAGGGAGTTTCTTGGCACCACCTGATGGCCTGAGCCAGGTTTCAGACAGAGATGCATGAACTACCTTTAAGCGCTCCAAACTGGCATCTTTCCCAGATACTTATTTTAGTTGTAAGCATTTTTACTCAAACACAATTTCTCAGACACCACTGTGTCTGTCATGTTTACCTATTTCAGCTCAGCGTGGGCAGGCTCAGAGTTCAGATTTCTGGTTTCTTTGACGCTCCTATAAATAAAGACTAAATGACTTTTAAGTGACAGATTTTGGATATCAAGTGTTTACAGCACTAATATCAATATATATGATTTAGAGTAAATTCATCCATTTTCATAAAAAACAGCAAAACATTACATTAGGTCATTTGCCAACCACTATAAGTACGATAGAGTGACGTTAATATGTTTTTGAACAATGACGCAGTGTTTGTAGTTTTACCTAGGTCACCATCACATTGGATTTTAACCAAACACTAAATATGTCATTGAAATAAAGACATTCAGCTTTAATTCAAAAGTTTTGCATCAGCTGTTTAGGACATTCAGCCATTTATACATAGTTTGCCATTTTCAGCGACTCAGAATTAAATGGACAATTGGATGACGAGCAGTTTTGTGGCTAGGTGAGGCCTGTTTCCTGGTTATTTACAACGATCTAAGTGGATAAAAGATCTAACGCCTAAATCCCAAGTGTTGAACATTTGGCCGCTTTTCGCTGGAAATCTCAATATCAGGTCCAAAGAGATTCTGCTACAACTCAAGGAGTCTATCATCAGACAAAAATCAAAATCTATCAGAGAGAGAAGAAAATTTCACACCCTACGTCAAGAACACTCTCAGGGATGAAGGTGTATTATTGTCGAAGTCTATAATCAAGAGAACCCTTCACACATATAATTACAGGGGGCTCACAACAAGATGCAAACCACTGGTTACACTCAAGAACTAGAAGGTCACTTTGCGAGGAAACGTCTAAAAGAGCCTGCACACTTCTGAAAAAAAATTCCTTGGACAGATGAAACCAAGGTGAACTTGTACGAATGTGATGGGTGTACACGGCTCAGATTCAGCCTAATAGGACAGTGTTTTATAGTAGATAGATAATGGCCCAAAGCAAACTGCAGAAGCAACCTAACAGTTTCTCAGGTTAAACAAATGGTATATTGTTCACTGACCAAATCAGTCACCTGATCTCAACCCAACAGAACATGTTTTTTTAGTTAATAAATACAAATCTGAATGCACAGAGACTCAGCAAAGGCCTGGTAGGCCATGCCATGTGAGGAAATGAAGCATTTGGTGATTCCCACTGGTTCGAGAACTCAGACAGCCATTGATTTTATTTAAAATCAGGTTAGTTTGTCCGATTACGTTCAAGCCTGTAAAAAGCTGCCCATTATTCTGTATACATTTTAAAACCCTTGAATTAAAGCTGAAAATCTGCACTTCAGTCTAATATTAAATGCTTGACTAAAAAAATACGACGACGGTGTACAAGAATTGTGCCTTTATCCAAATGTGTATGGACCTAACTCTATCTGTTCCATTTCATTTACTCACTAAATACACCAGGTAAGCCTGCTTCATGAAAATTATTCTCAACTTCAATGTTAAGCAAGCAATAGCAGTTCATCAATCACATATAACTACAGCTGCTTTGTCAATAGTGCTTTCATACTGACGTTTGGTCAATAGTGAGTTGACTCTGAGTTAATGCCCTTTAAGTCTGAGACAGCATTTTGTTTTTTGCTGCTATAATGCGGCTAATAAGTTCTAAATTGTGGGCTGTTGGTTTGCTTGCTTATGCTGAGATATTGCTGTGTGAGAGGGAGATGTGGAAGAGAGCAGATGCCCTGTCAGCAGAGCAGACAGTATCAGAGAGCACACTGTGATGGAGGCTAGGAGCACAACACGCACTATTTTTTTTTTTTTTTTAGAGAGCATCAGTTTTTTTCTTTTCCCTGACATCTTATAGTTCTGTTTCTGTTTTTTCTTTTGTTTGTTTCCCTGCAGTAAAAAATCTGAAAGAGTCAACAAACAAGGACTGCACTGGTGCTGCTTTTCAGTTTGAGGCTTTCAAACTGAAGCAGAGCCACAAGGAGCTTTCCATTATTCAACAGTAACATCTTTGACTCGTACATCCTTAGTAAAAAAAAGCAGGCAGGCTAGTGCTGCGCAATTATCAAATACAATAATATGAACCCACTTTGACCTGCCTACTGATATCCTCACTGCCACTCACAACACAACCTATTTTAGAAGCGTCACAATGGCTCAGTGCACAATTCCTGCCCTAAAAATGGCAGCTTTGTGGTTGTTAGGACCCCTCCGAGGCAACAGCATCTTCGGTGCATGACATCTTCCCATACAGCCATGACTCACAGAGCAAAATGTCAAGACAAAGGTTACCGGGCTTCTTCAATGCACACAATGAAGCAAATCTCAGGAGAGTGTCGCCTTCTGCCTGCCCATGCTGCAAAACGTAATGTCTTCCACTGACCTCCACAGGTTTGGATGTGAGGTATTGTTTACAGCCTCGGGTGACCCTATCTTGTCGGCTTCCCTCAATGCAAGCTGTAATCTCGATACCGTCGGGCCACACAGACAAGACTGCACTGCACAAAATGTTGATCTTGCAAAGAAAACTAATCCGGTATTGATTGCTACTTTGCTTTCAGCAAGGTTAAATACTTACACTTTGTTACCAGGTGAAGTGACTGATCTTTAAAACAGAAAAACAGGCTTATATTAACACGTCTCTTTAAAAACACAGTTTAGGGCTAAATCTCGTTGCACATCATTGGACCCTTTTTTTACAAGGTGCCCTTCAGCTGCGAGGGTCCTTGGCATATTATTGTATGATACCTCAGCCTGGAGAAACACAAGTGGATTTAAAAAAAAATTTAAAAAAAGCATCCACAGGACTTCATTAAACTGCACACTGAATTCTTAAATAAATTCTTTATAGTTCAATCAAACGCCGCATGCTAAATAGGTTTGATATTCATGCCTCTATTCATTCTCTACAGTGGACTGTAGCGTGTCTGCTAATGTGCCTGTCTTGCAAACACAAATTGCTGGAAAGATATGATAAAGAGATCGTGAACACAAAAAGGAAAATTTAACCAGCACAGACCTGCGAGAGAGAGTGCAGATACATTACAGCTCCCTCAGAGTGCTCTCCATTATTGAATTCATAACCACAATGGTTCATTAGCACTGTGAGTAAATAATAATTGAGGTTGCCTTTAACTGAGAGGGGCAGAAATAAGAGGACAATTAGGCTGCTTTCACAGGGCCCTCGCCTGCTATCTGCTTACATGATAAGGCTCCAGTTCTATCATAATCTATTTGTCAAATCAGCCCTTTAAGTAGGAGTGCTCGCATATTCTTCACGACAGCGGAACTAATTTTCCTCTAAAATTACTCACAAGGCAATGCTGTTCGGATGCAAAAAAAAAAAAAACAACAAAAGAAAAAAAAGAAATGTGTGTCAAGTGTGAAGGAACAAATAACATCTGTAGTTTGATTCACTGACTGCCCTCTGTTATTTCCACTGATGGGAGGAAACCCGAAACCATCTGAATCCTGTGATTAGAAGAACTGACAGCCAGAGTGTGCAACTGCAAGTGACGTCTGGTCATCTTTTAAAGATGTTATACCTTCAGAATGACACCAGGCCTGAGGGTCGCTTACCTTTTAGTTGGAGTAGGTGCCCCAGAGGACATGAGCATTGTGTCGTTCATGTTGTTGGCCGCTGGTTTCGGCTGACTAAAAGACAAGATTAGAGGTCTTTAATGCTGCGCTGCAGAGGTCTGTGGTGCTTGTCACCAGGGAATGGAGGAGAGGGCATTTGCATTTTATTAATAATCATGAATCAGCGATCCTGGCTTCAGTTTAATCCAACTGTACCAGGAGGGTGAGGAGGGAAGCAGGAGGATCATTATAAACCACTGAGTGTGTTGCAGGAAAAAAAGCAACATACTATACTCCAGTTAACTTAAAATTGTTGCAAAATAATTGACTATTCCGGGAACAGCGAATTAGATGTTTTTGGGCTATTAGCTTAAACCTAATTAACATGAGCAAGAGCAAGAGCAGCAGACAAGAGATCTAATTAAACTGGAAGTCTGTGAAAAACTAGCAAAGGTGACATTGTGGGAGGTAATTTGTGAGAGTAAACAAAGCAGTGGGGTCCATCTGGCGGCTGAATCAGTGGCAAACTCATCGGAGTCCAAACCCCCGGACCACAGAGTCTCATTAACGCGCCGAAATATCACTCTGCACATCTCAGGTCCTCTCAGCTTCACATCCGACACAGAAAACAGCAGAGGAAAGCATTTGATTTTCAAATCCTTGAAGACGCATCCGCAGTATCTTTGTGTAGTTATCAGCTTTGATTCTGTTGTAACAGTTTTATTTAAAACACTCATTACCACATAAAAGAAAATGCAATGTAGAGCACTGTGTCTTATTAAGATTATTTGTCCAATCAGCTTTTCCTTTTTTCTTTTTTCCAAATCAAACTATTTATATCTACATTGTGCAAAAAAGCCACCTTTACCCCCCCACAAAGTGCATCAACAGCACAGGCAGTTCTGTATATTACTCAGCTACTAAAAACAGAAATCAGCACAAAATATATGAAAAAATGCAGCAGTACTTCTAAATGCATGCTCCTCGCATTAACGTGGGTGCTCAAGGGGGTCAGTGTGTTCTTTTTGAAGACACACTGCAATTATTAATTCATTCAGACGTTTATGCCCCTCAAGAGTTGCCTAATGGGGTCGTAAGAGAAGCAAGTCCGAGTATTTGTTTCTGGGGCCGTTTGCACAACCACAGCACTGCTAATTTCTGGATCACGCATTAGGATAAACAGGAAAGCAAAAGTGTCACTACTTAAACGGCCACGCGCTGCCTTCCAGTCTCCCTGACAAACACTCCGGCTAAAATCCCAGCGCATGTGAAAAATGTTTACCTCTTTTTTTTTAAATCACATTAAAAAAAAAAAGAATCCACCCTGAAGGTGAGCTCCAGTCTGAGGACAGGAAGCGAGGCGCCACACTTACCTCTGTGAGGAGAGAAAGCACCTGTCTGGCTGGCAAAATACATCCAATTGCTGCTGTTGCCAGATGCCTAATCTGCCCTCAACTGAGCAGGCGAGCATCTCACTATTACACTGCTGTTGTCTCCAAGGAAACTCAGCGGTCATGTGACTTTGTGACGACGTAGATTTGCTCTCTCCCCCTCTCTCTCTCTCGCACACGCTCACTCTCCTCTCTTCACCTCTCGCTAACACAGTGGAAATTAGGGGGAAATGCCTTTTGCTCAAAATACCTCCTCTGCAACCTCTAAACAAAAAAAAAAAAAGCACAAATGTTTTATCATCTCCTCAGCAGACAAGCGCACAATGAACTCTACAGTTTCTACTATAATTGCAATTATATATCCTTACTCTTCCCCTTACCTTTAGTGAGTTACATAAGTCAAAGCTCTTCACAGTTAGCCTTCTATAAATAATCATCAGCCCTTTTTGAACATACCAATATAACTCCTCTGGCACAGCAGGGTGCCATAAAAAAGCTTCCTCTTATGTAAAGCAGTATTTCATTCTCCTCTAAATGTTAGAATGAACTCTAACAGGCATCCCGACTCGTTCACATCAGTGTCTGCAACGCTGTGATTCACTGACTCCCTAAACGCTGATTAAGGACACACAGGCCAGACATTTGGGCGGCGCCTCAGAGGTCAACCAGGAGTGAATTGACACAACATTTAGGCACTAAGAGATCAAAGTCTGCAATGCGCTAAGCTTTGTGTTACCTGCGTGCAGCGAATGACAATGTACCACGTGCTATTTATACTTGGCTTTGAAGGGGGTACTGGGAAAATTAAGTCTAGTGGCACCTCATGCACACTCGTTCGCCTTATTTCTGAAAAGGACGGGTGCCTTCAATCGTCCTCAGTCGGCTAAAAATAATAAGCAAGCGTGAAGCATCCTCTCCTGCTGTGCTCCTATTTCCCGCGAGGCTGACAGTACCTCGGCCATAAAAACCCAATGGATCACGCTCTCAGTGAAGTGAATTATATGCCTGTTCTCTACATTTTAATGACACTGATGGAATTTTCATTGACCTGGAGAATAAAAAAAAGAAAAAGAAGAAGAGGCATAAAACAGAGGAAAGCATTTTAAAATGTTAATGGATTTCTAGGGATTATATAGAGAGTGGAAAATTGGTTACTAAATATTAAACACTGGAAGAGAGAATTTGAGCCTACAGACTCACAGACTTGGTGTGTTCCACATTAAATGCAAAGTACGGCAAGATGCCTATTTTTTGACTCTTAGTCTGTTTTGGTGCTTAAAGTCTTTTGGCAGAAGCGGTGCTAAGTCTGAAGGTAAGAAGCCGCATCCTAGATTTAAAGTTTCTGAGACAGACAGTGCATCCCAAACCTATAACTCCTCTCTAAAACACAAATCCCCAAGAATCTCGCTGACAGTTAGAGTGGAGAGAAGAAATTCACAGCTCAGCTCACTGTTGGTCTTTGCTTTCAGATGCCAGTAAATATTTCAGAATAGTTTCAGAATAGATGCACTTTGTCTGAAGATGATATGAGAGTTTGGACAACTGGGAGACTCGTGTCCGTTCGATTTGGGCGTTTTGATCAAACTTGACTCTCTAGCCTGATTCTGCCATTATTAGTCACTCACAGAAGCTCCGTCAGCCATCACAGACACACACACACACACACACACACACCTAAGAGATCGCACTGATGTATGTCCTCTGCTTTTACGATATGAAACACCATCTCTTCACAAATAACATTCATCAGAATTGGCAAGCAGCAGCAATAGTTTTAGTATTCCAACACTGCATCTCTCTCACTCTTATGCATCACCAGTAAAATGAAGTCGATGTAGAATAAAACTAGAAGCCTGGCAGTTTTCCTGTGACTAATTACTGAGGGATCCATTTCTATAGCCAGCAGGGAACTCGGAATGGTATGCAGATAATTGCTGTGTTCCCCCATCATTTTTTTTTATTAAACTGCCCATTAAAAAACAGAATTATTCCATTAGCGGCAGAACTCATGGCTCATGGCTACAACGAGGGCATACGATTTACAATTTGATGTTGGATTTAACGGTACAGTTCAATTTAATTTTGTCCTTGTCTTACAGTCAAACAACAAATATCATATAACATCAAAGCGTAGTTGTTATTTTTCAGTTTTTATGTTTTATTAAACATCACAGATGTAAATTAATCAGCTCTAGAGGTGCTGGGAGGCTTTTAAACTTTAAACTTTCATCTGGAGCCAGATTAGCTAGCTCCCCCATTTCTGGTATTTATGCTAAGTTAAGCTAAGTTTTAAAGCTGCTTCTTCATAATTACTGAAAAAACATGGTTGAAGCACCGCTCTATTCACAGCCACTAACTGTAATTTTTATACACTGAGCACCTCTTTTCACTCTTTACCACTGCAGTATGTCATTACAATTTAGTCTTCTCTCTCTTAGTTGGTTTTGTCCTGTCTCCCTATTTCCACTTCACCCCAAACTGGTGGAGGGCAGTGTTGGTCAAGTTACTTGAAAAAAGTAATCAGTAACTAATTACTGATTACTTCCCCCCAAAAAAGTAATCCTGTTACTTTATTGATTACTTATTTTCAAAAGTAATTAATTACTTAGTTACTTTTTAAAAACATGATTTACAACCTGAATAGGTGATAAAGCGATAGATCTTTCAGCCCAATTCTACTTTTTCTAC